CTCATAGACACAACAGGAAAGACATCAAAGACTTTAAAAACCTGACTTATTCTTTTAGAGGGTCATTTGAAAGAGGGCAGAGTAAATGTAAAGGAGGTAAATTGTGAAGGCATTGTTAAGTTGTATGTCAAGGAGAGACCAAATTGTTTAAGAGTAATGACAGGAGAAATGTGCAACCGAGTGGTAGAGAATTCGCCTAGTATCCATGAGGGGCCAATTCTAAACATCAACTCCACATTAAAATAAATGTGGTTGCATTGAGTCAAGAAACATAATGAAAATAGCAGTATAAGCTTAGGACACCATGAAGACATAATGTGGTTGCATGGGTGGGTTGGTGGTCATGAGTGATACCTTGGGTTTGATCTTTAGCATTGTAAAATAAAGGGAAAGGGAGGGTTGAAAGTGTCATTAAAACTGGAAGCAGAGGTCATTTAGCATTGTTTGGTTTTGCTTTATTAATTGTTCCACAGCCTTTTAGTACAGCCTCCAGTTTCTCTTTACAGCACATATCCATTAAATGCTAAACCTTACTCTGATGCTTATTAATAATCACCAGTTTGTCAGGATCCGGAAGTACCTAGGAGACAAACTTTGTGAATGTCTGTGAGGGAGATTCTAGATCGGGTTGATCAAGGTGAGAAAACTTACATGTAGGCGGCACCATTTCATGGGCTGGGCTCCTGGACTGAATGGAAGGGACAATGGCTGGCTGAACCATCATTCTCTTCTCTCTCTCTCTCTCTCTCTCTCTCTCTCTCTCTCTTTCTCCCTCTCTCTCTGTTTCCTGACAGTGGTCAGACTAGTCTCAAATTCTTGCTGCCAAGACTTCCATGATGGACTATGCCCTAAATTTTGAGCCAAATAAACCCTTCCTTAAATGGTTTTCCTTGGGGATTTTGTAACAGTAATGGTAAAAGTGACCAACAATACTTCCGTAGGGATGGGCTGCAGGTTAGTAGTAGAGCTCCTGCTTAGCATACTCAAGGCTCTGGGATTTGATCCCTAGCATTGCCAACAAAATTTCAATGCAATAAATATCACAGAGAGACAGTCTGTTTGCCAACACTAGGCTAATTTTTCCATTCAACCTAGACATAATTCCTTCTGGACTGAATTATATTTTCCCCAAACACAATCCTCAATGTGATTACTTTTAGCAGTAAGGCTGGTAAAGAGGTAATTAAGATGGAATGAAGTCATAAGGGTGGAGTTCTAATCCAAGAGGATTAGTGTCCTTACAGGAAGTTGATTTGTCTCTGCCCTCACGCAGGAAACAAACAGCAACAACAACAACAACAACAACAACAAAAAACCCCCGTCTATGTGGACAGAGGAGTGGCACCCTCCTTCATACTAAGGGAAGAGGCTTCCCAGGAAACTATCCTTGTTGGCACCTCACCTTGGGCTTCCAGCCTCCAGACTGAGAAAAACGTATTTTCAGTTTAGGCCACACGTTCTCTGGAATACTGTTCTGGCAACAAAGCTCCTGAGTTCATGCTCTATCATGAAGATGCAAGACGGTCTGTCTGGTTCACCTGAAATGTGAGCATTCTAAGTAAACCAGAAAAGGACATCATCTCACTACTCCACAGGCTATACTACAGGACAGCATTTTGTCTGCTGTTTTCCTTTCTCTTCCTTGTTCTGCTTTCAGTTCTCTGCAGACAAGCTGCTGGGGTCTAGGTAAAATGCAGAATGGAAAGGTGATGCTGTGCCATTAGCATGTTCCAATACAAGGCAGATTAGTTATTCCAGTTATATTCCATTTCTCCGCTCTGAAGTTTTGGCAGGGACACTGCAGCTATTAGTGTTTGGACCTGTCTGGGGGTGTCTTTGTAAATTGGGCATTGGAATTTAAAAAAACCAAAAACCAAAAACCAAAAAAAACAAAACAAAACAACAACAAAAAAAAAAAAACCAACTACTTGTATCCATCAGAGAATGATGTCTGTTTTTATAACTAAATGAAGATTTGTGAAATAGACTCTGTAACTAGGCTTCAAAGCATTTTATCTCAACTTCCTGTGGACACACTCACCTCTGGTTCATGTGTGAAGACACTTTCCATCAGAGATCACAGACCATTTACTTCTATAAGCCAGATAATAAGTCTGTTATCAGAGACCTCTGCCTTGTTAGATTTTCTGGCTTCCGTATTTTACCAGTTTAGCATGATACCTTTCTTCATTCTTTAATTTTTATCAATTTTGTATCTTTATAGTTAAACTAGATACTTGACATGGTTGTTTTAGCCACTATGGAAACTGGAGGAGGATGAGTATTGCTTCAGACCAGGAGTTTGAGACCTACATAGAGATAGCCATCTCAAAACAAAATGGAATGAAGCAAAATAACAACAAAATCTCCAAATTGCATTTTTTGCAGGTAATGAATTGCGACCTGCTTTTTTTCTGAGATTATTTTTGATCATGCACATTTAATAAAATTATTGTTATAGCTGGATTTCAATCTACTGTTTTGATAGCTTTTTTTCCTGCTTCTTTAAATTCTATTTTGGATTGATTGTCTACTATTTCATTCTCTTGCTCACCTGTAGCAATAACTTTTTGTTTGCTTGTTAGTTTTTACTTGTCTTTTTTGCTTTTAGTGATATTAGTAATGCTATAGATATATAATATGGATCAAATTATCTTGATGTGTAGATATGTGTGCATATTTGTAGATACTCTATCTGAAGAACTTTCTTAACTGTATCCTGTATTCTAGTACTACTAGTGATAAGTTCTTTCATCTTTGTGTGTGTGTGTGTGTGTGTGTGTAAATATCTTTATTTTCTCCTGATAATGAAGAATACTTTTGATGGATGTAGAATTTGTCTAGGCTGGCTTTTTTTTTTTTTTTTTTTTTTTTGTTTTTTTTAAATATTTTTATTTTCTCCTGATAATGAAGAATACTTTTGATGGATGTAGAATTTGTCTAGGCTGGCTTTTTTTTTTCTTTTTTCTTTTCAGTTTTCTCCTATATTTTTCATCGTTTCTGACAAGAAGTCTGCTGTCATCCTTATGATTGTTTTTCTATATGTAATTGTCTTTTATCCTTCAGTTGCTTTTAAGATTTTTTTCTTTTCATATCTAATTTCAAACAATTATGTACCTATAACATTAATAGAATTTTCTGTTTGAGGTATTCTGGAAGTTATTCAATTTGTTGGTTTATAGTTTTGATCACAGTTGAACAAACTGACCAGCTTTTCAGTTTTCTCTCCTTTCCTTTAAAAGTTCCAATTTTAGTCCATCAGACCATTTTGTTTCACAATCCACCAATGCTTTTGTTCACTTTTATCTCTGTGTTTAATTTTACGTATTTTAAAAATAGAGATTTCTTTTTATTGTTTTTAGGTGTGTGTGTGTGTGTGTGTGTGTGTGTGTGTGTGTGTGTGTGTCGCACTAGCGCACGTGTTCTCGGTGGTATACACACAAGAGCGTGGGTGCCCTCAGAGCACCAGACCCCCGCTGGAGCTGGAGCTCCAGAAGACTGTGAGCACCATGTGGGGCTTCAGGAAAAGCAAGAAGTGCTCTCAACCGCGGAGCCAGCTCTCCAGACAGTTTCTACATTGTGTTTACAAGCCTGATTTTTTTTTCCTTTCCCCAACAAATTGGCTGCTAACCCTATATAATGTTAATGGATAATTCGTTTCTACACATTTATTTATTTTTCTCACACACTCTTTCTCTTTAACATGCTTTCGGAATTCATGAAATACAGTAAAAATTACTATCGGTATAATTTCTGTGGCTGTTTTAATTGACACCCCCCCCCCCCACACACACACACATGCACACACACATTTAACAGTTAAATTTTCTTGTTTTTAGAGTTTGGTGGGTTTTTTGTTTGTTTGTTTTTGGTTTTTTGTTTTTTTCAATCAGATAGCAGACAGTGTAAAGACAACGCTGTTGAGTGTTCTTGTATTTCTGTAAATATTGCTGAACTGTGTTCCGGTCTGTAGTTAAATTGCATGGAGATAGTCGGATCTTTTTAAGATTTGCTTTTCAGCTTTTATGCTTGACCAAAGAAAGCTTTAGTTTAAAGACTAACTTTGCATTAAACCTTCTATCTCCTTGGGTCCCACATCCATAAATATAACCAACTGTTGATGAAAAAAAATTTTTTTTACTTGCATCTGTTATCTGTATTGAACAGACTTTTCTTGTCGATATTCCCTAAGTAATACATCTATCCATATATCTACATTGAATCATATAATACATCTGTATTGATGTAGAGATGACCCAGGAAGCCAGGACTCGTGGCACAAGCCTTTAATCCCAGAACTCTGGAGGCAGAGGCAGGTGGATCTCTATGCGTTCAAGTACAACCTGGCTGGCACAGGGAGTTCTAGGGCAGCAAGAGATACACAGTAAGGCCCTGCCTCGAAAACAAAAGCAAACAAGCCTCCCTCCCCCCAAGAAAACAAATGTATATAGGAGTGAAGCATAAATTATGGATAAAGACCAGGCCACTTTGTTTAAAATGGTATAGTCATACATCCACGGATTTGGGTACCAGCAAGGGCTGACAGAGACAAGGCATCTCATGCTGCCTGAAGAGTTCTGGCCCCGCGTAGCTTCTTACACATAGCAAAACCGATCACCAAACCCGACCATTCAGTATCCGCCCTCTTCTTCTTTTTCGCCACAGCCACTCACAGGGTAGCAGTGAGGAAGGCTAGAGAAGCTTTTCTCCTAGGAGCAACTCAGCTCGTAACTGGGACAGCATCACAGGGAGGCGGGGTCAGGAGCGATGAGCTCAGCCCGGGAAGTCCTACCAAGGGATCAGAATCCTAACAAAGGAAAAGGCGGGTCTTGGGTTGAAGACCAGGCCGCTTGCAGGTGGGTGTGCCCCACCTCAACGCAGGAGGCGTGGCGGCGCAAGGAGCCAACCAATCAGGACCGACGCCGCCACGTGACGAGCCGTAGCCAATAGGAGGAGGCCGTGAAGGCAGCGGGGAAATTCAAACGTGGTTCCGGACAGGGGTTAGGGTTCTGCTGTTTTTGTCTGCAGCTTGGCCTCCCGAGGTGAGTGCAGCGGTGCGGGCGTTGCGGGAGCGGCGGCTGCGGGCGGGAGGCTGCCGGGAGGTGAGGGCGGCGGCGGGCGGGCGCTGGGGACCCCGGGCCAGGCGGGCCGGGGCGCAGGGTGGAGGGTGCGGCCTGCGGGACCCCGGCTGGAGGTGAGAGAGCGGGGCCCGGAAGTGAGCGGAGTTCCGGGCAGGACTGGCTGCTGCACCGCGCAGCGCCGCGCCTGGGAGGAGATGGGGGACCCCCTGCTGCCATCCTGCAGCTCGGCTTCCGAGCACGCTCCGCGGTGGCAAAGACCTTGAGTTACCGCGTTGTGGAGAGTCGCAGTCCAGAGTGACAGGAAGGCCGACCGCAGTCTGTAGGCCAGCGGTACCAAAACACCGTCATGCAAATGAGCTGAGCGTGTGCTCAGTGCTGTCTACAGTGCCTTAGTCCTTGCGTTAGAGTGACAAAATCGCAAATCATGGTTTTGTTAGGGACAAAGTCCGTTATCAGTAGGAAGACTTTTTCTGCTTGCACAGCACCCTCAATGTCAATATTTACGCAGGCAGAGTAGGTGACCAAAGGGACAATCATTACCAAACATTCCTTATGTCTCCTTTATCACTGCCAGAATCACAGAACCCCAGCCCCCCCCCTTTTTTTTTTTAGTGATGAACTCTTCAGACAGCCCAGAGAAAATAACTCTGGGCAAAAATGAAAGGAAGACATTCAGTGAAATGAAGTTTTAAAGGGCATCAGCTGGACATGGTGCTGTATGTATTTACTCCTCGAACTTGGGAGGTGAAACAAGACCAGACAGCAGCCACCTAGAGAGATCAAGGCCATCATAGGCCATTTGACACCCTAACTCAAAACACAAAACTCGTGGGAAGCAAATTTTTGGGGGGCCTGGGGAGAGTTCATGACAGTTTCTTTGTACAGCCCTGGCTGTCCTCCAACTCAGCTATTCTCTTGAGTCTGCCTCCCAAGTGTTTCGATCAAGGATGCTCACCACCAAGCCTATCGGAAAGCAATTTTTATGTGTGCTGTGTCTTCTGGATTTGTGCCGTGGAACCTCATTGTTATTATATTGGGAAGAATAGATGTGTTTGGCTCACTGAAACTTTTCTGATAAATTACAAAGCTATGTCTCTCGCGGTTTTTGTTGTTTTGGCTTGGTGTGGGCGCTCCACTAACACTTACCTAATATCAATTACATTTAGACGTGTTTCCAAAAGTAATGTTTTGTCTTCATTCTGAAAGATGAGTTATAATTTAGAAATGGAGGCTGAAGAATTAAATGGCAGAAATTTGACAATTGACTCCATAATGAACAAAGTGAGAGATATAAAAAATAAGATAAATGAAGACCTTACGGATGAGCTAAGCTTGAGTAAAGTCTGTGCTGACCCCACAGGTGAGTTTTTCTTTTCTTTTTTTTTAAAAAAAAAGAAACATTAAGTGCCTCTAAGGTAAAAGCAAGAGATATTAACCACCATGTGTTGCCTGATGGAGATTTTTCCCCCTTCAGTAATTGATGGTTATCCATTAGGACTGTACTTTATACTTTAACTTGTTTGTCTGGATATATTACAAACTGTTCTGCTGTCTGGAGATAGACAGACAGACGACATGGGCATGGTAGCTTATACCTGTAATCCCACACTTGGGAATCTGAGACAGAAAGATCTCAAGTTTATGGCCAGTGTGGGAAACACAGTAAGAAGGAAAAAACGACAGAAAAGAATCACTGTTTACCTGTGTGCTCACAGGTAGTCTCCCTAAGTCTTTTGTTACTTGTGACTGCCACTGAGTTATGTTGGCTGATTGTTAGCTGATCTGCCTGCCATCCATGCACATGTAAAGTTTTTTGTTTTTGTTTTTCCTTTTCCTTTTTTGTTGTGAACTGAGGAAGGCTCACCAATCTTACTGAAGATTTAATTATTTAATTAATTAATTGGTTTTTTTGAGACAGGGTTTCTCTGTGTAGCCTTGGCTGTCCTGGACTCGCTTTGTAGACCGGGTTGGCCTCAAACTCACAAAAATCCACCTGCTTCTCTTTCTCAGAGTGCTTGGATTATAGGTGTGCACCACCGTGACTGGCTTTCTTTTCTATTTTATTTTATTTTTTATTTTTATTTTTATTTTATGTGTGAATGTTTTACCTACATGTGTAAGTGTATACCACTGTCATGCTTGGTGCCCTTCAAGGTCAGAACAGCCATAGGGTCCCCTGGAACTGCAGTTATGGTTGGTTGTGAGCCACCTGGTGAGGGCTAGGAATGGAACCTGGGTCCTCTGCAAGAGCAGCAAATGCGTAACTGCTGAGGCACCTCTCCAGTCCCCTCAAGTTATAGTTAATTTTAACACCAACGCTAGGTTTGAAGGATCTTACAGTCTTGTGGCTGTAGCACCCACCTCTCTGTGTTGACACTGTTTTAGCCAGGGCTCTCAATTATTCCCAAATAGGTGTTTACTCTTACCTCTTCAGGTCTTCACATGTCTTTGTCTGTGGCCTTTCTAATATGCTTGTTTCAGATAGCTACTTTCTAAGATTGGAGTATGGCCCCTGTTTTCTTTCTTGTATTGTTCACACAGCCCTAACTCACTTTATGTATAAGTTAGTCATGTATTTGGTTATTGTTCTGTTGTCCACTAGAATGATGTTTCCATGAGGGCAGAGTTTCCAGTCTGTTGTTATATCCAGTTCTTAGAATGTAGACTGGTATGAAGTTGGCACTTACTGGATGATGTGATTGAGTGAAAATCCCCATAATGCTAGTTATATAAGAAGCATTAGCTTACAAGCTAGTCTTTCTTAGTTTCACATGGTTGATATTTGAATGGTCAATATATAGTTATTCACAGGATAAAAACAGATGTTCTGTGTTCCATCTTTTTAAACTGGGTTAAAACCCCAGTAACTATATGAATGGTGGGTCAGGAAAAAATTGACAACAGTGTTTGAATGTTTAATGAAATTTAATTCAAAAGCAAATGTGCAATAAATCCAAGGTGTTTCTGCCTGTGCTCACCCACGTTGCATTGCTCAGCTGCTCAGGAACTGTGGTTCCAAGCAGACAGTGTTTGTACTTTGTACTATACACAGTGCCCTATCGCTCGGTGCCAACAAACTCTGCCTGTAAAACCTTGGCTTAGATTTTAGATGATTGCATAGTATAAGTTTTCAGATTTTACTGTACATACAGAGCTTCTTGCTCTTATGGAAATGGAATTTTTTAATGATAAACAAAACTTTTAATATTTTCCTACTGTTATTTCCTAAGTAGAAGATTGGTGGTCATGATTCTTTCTTAAAAACAAAACATAAACAAAATCAAAAAACAAAAAGACAGCACTAAATAAGTTCAGTAAGTTGTGAAAATTATATTTGGAGGACTTAACCCAGGACTGTGTATACTAGGCAAAGCAGACATGCTTGTCAGCCTTGAAACTCAACAGCCAGAACGTAGAGCATCAGATTCAAGGTCATTCTTAGCTATGTATTGAATTGAAGGCCACTCTTGGCTACTTGGTCCTGCTACAAAAACAAAACAAAATGACCTGCAGTTTTTTTGTTTGTTTTGTTGTTTTGTCATGTTTGTTTTGAGACAGGGTTTCTTTATGTAGTCCTGGCTGTTCTGGAACTTCTGTGTAGACCAGGGTGGTCTCAAACTCATGGAGATCCTCCTACCACTGCCTCCCCAGTACTGGGCTTAAGGTGTGAAACACCTTGCCTAGCTTGAAGCTTATTCTTGCTGTTACTATGTATGGTTGAATTTCACAGCGAGAAAGCTGATGCCCACAAGCCCTGTAGGTTCTGAAGGCATAGATTGGTAAGATTAGAAAATTAGCAGAGTATTTAAGAGAAATGTAGGTAACTTGGAAGAAGAAAGCCATCTTGGTTTTTTACCTTTGTATTTCTTTGGTTGTATTGTAACTAAGTTTGAGATACATGGAACTAATGTTGGATATTATTACTGTTACCCAGCAAAAGTTATGCTGAGCCTAGCATATAACACTTCTAAAACATGCTAATGAATTAGATGATTGATAGAGAATTTTCCAGTGTGAATTCTTAGTCAAAAATAGTGAGAGAGAAGAACTGGTGAGATGGCTCAGTTCTTAAGAGAACTGGCAGAAGACTCACGTTCAAATTCTAGCAACCATATTGTAGTTCGCAACTGTTTCTGTCGTATGTTTGTAGTTACGTAGTTTAGACGTTCCTGAAAAGATAGCCAAACATCTTCTGGCTTCTGGAAGCTGCAGGCTTGCACGTTGTGCAGACATACATGAAAGCAAAATACTTGTACCATAAACTAACAGTAAAATAATTAGAAAATAGATAAAATCAGGAACGTAATTAAAATAACATTGTTTATGTACACTGACAGTATTGTAAACACTTAACTGTAATTTGAGGAAAATGCAATTTGTCATGTTGTTTCTCTGTTGTGATTTTTTTCATATTTATTCATATAATTAGAAACTGTTAACCAAATTATGATGGTGGCGAACACCCCAGAGAACTGGTTGAATTTCTTGCTGAAACTAGAGAAAACCAGCGCCCCTCTCAATGATGTTCTTTTAAATAAGCTGATTGGTCGGTATAGTCAAGCAATTGAAGCGCTTCCTCCAGATAAATATGGCCAGAATGAGAGCTTTGCTCGAATCCAAGTGAGACTTGCTGAATTAAAAGCGTAAGTATTAGCATTGAAACTATACATAAGCAACTATATATGTACTATATTACAAAGAAAGAAGGTAAAAACATGTAATTCATATTTTTTAACCCAATACTTTTTAATGTAAACATTTTTCTGTGGACATAGATGCCTCAAAGTTACAGAGTTTCGTATTTCCTAAAACAGTACACAAATATAACCTAGTTTTTTTTTTTTTTTTTTTCCCATATAAAAAGGTAATATTCCACATCCTTGGAAAGGGAAGTTATTAAGTGTAGGTGGTTGTGTCCTTGATTTTTTTTTTTTTTTTTTTTTTAAGTTTGGGTCTAATCTTTTGTTGCAGCATCCAAGAGCCTGATGATGCGCAGGACTATTTTCAAATGGCCAGAGAAAACTGCAAGAAGTTTGCTTTTGTGCATGTGTCTTTCGCACAGTTTGAACTGTCGCAAGGTAATCCGAAAACAGCAAGTTTACCTTTTAAGTGAAAGCACGTCCCATTGTAGCATTAATACTGGGTCATAAATTTGAAGTGAAAAAACAAAAATATTACGGTTGGTGAGATGAGAACATGGAACAGAGGTGCGATACAGCAGAAGTCCAGAGTCTGCAGTGAGCCATCTTTATTCTTATAAGGAATGTTCTGTGGTGATAAGTGCAGACATTCTGTTTGTGTCCTTCACTCAGGAAACATCTGAAGGAACGCTTTTTGGTTGAGTATTTGTAGAATAAAGGATGAGCATTTTAGCTGGAACTTAGTTTGTGGCACTAGAGGATGTGTTGGCTGTACCACTGAGCTGCGGTTCTCCTTGTTCACCAGTGCAAGACCATTCCTTCTTGCTTACGTGGTTCCTCATAGTCTGCCTTTTGATATAGGTCATCTTTTTTCTGAATCATCTTTAACCGAGCTAATCCTTATTCCCCCTGCACCTCCTTCCCCACCTCATTTTCTGGGAATCTTCAGCTATATCCTTAGAGTACCCTCTGGCCAAATGTTCCTCTCCTGACTCCTGCTTATTTGTGCTGATGCCATGTACTAACCAGTTAAACATTACCGCAGCTAGCAGCCTCCTGTGTTGACCTGTGGGATTCCTAAATTCTAGTAATTTAAATCTGTAGTCTACTGTATACTTGTAGAGCATATTTTTTCTTTGTAGAGGAATTCATTCCTCCTGCTTGTTTGTTATGGTAAGTCTGGTCAGTCCTTAAAGACCGTTTGGCCTTTCATTGCTCACTGTAACTCTTAGATCTTAGAACAAGTAAATTGAGCTGTTTGTGAGAACAGTTAAGTCACAGAAGTGTGCCAGTAGCCACCACTTGTGTGTCTTGAGCAGGGTAGGTAGATAGGCTGTTAGGAGATAATGCAGCTTCCGGGGGCTCGTATATAGTCTGCTGTGTGCATTTAGAGGGTTAGGGGTTTCCAGAGTTTTTATCAGATTCTCTAATGGATTTTTGACCTGATAACTCTTAAATTACTAGTGCTTTTCTAAGGCTTTAGGTGTACCAAAGTACTCAATTTTATTGCTACTCTCAATAAACATATGGATTTAGTCGTTACCATATATTCTTTAAAATTTGTAAATTGTGAGTAATTAGAGAGACCTCTTATTAACTATATCACTCAGTTTTTAAAGATTTTCTTATGGACATATATTGTATGCTGAGGATATCTCCCTGATCCCAGTTCTTCCCGCTCTCTGTTTCCCTCTTTAATCACCTTTATTGCTCTAGACAATTTCACTGCTGCTTGCATATACATAATGATTTTATATTACTGTATAAAATCTAGGACCATAAAAATGAGGGAAAAAAGACATCTAAGGTTGACTTAAGTTGCTTAATATGATTGTCTCTGGTTGCATTCATATTCCTGCACAGGTTATAACTTTATGGCTGAAAATAATTTTCTTGTGTATATGTACCATATATTTGTCATCCATTTCTCTGTTAGATATCCATATTGTCTTCACAGCTTAGCTGTTGTGAATAGTTTCTTGTTTTATGTCTGTGAGTGTTTTGCCTGCATGTATGTACTTAAATCGTGTGCATACATGGCTCCCACAGAGGTAAGAAGGCTCCTGGAGAGGGTTGTGAGCTACCATGTGGGGGCTGTGAACCAAATTCTGTCTTCTACAAGAACTGTCACATGTGCTCATAAACAATGAGTCATATCTCTAGCTCTGTATATAATGCTGCAGTAAACATTGATGTATCTTTGTGATGCATTGTGTTGCAGTAAACATTATAGTATCTTTGTGATATATTGAGTTGCAGTCCTTTGAGTAAATAAATGTCCAGGAGAGGTATGTTTGATCTGTTTCTGGTGTTTTGAGAAAACTTGCTATTGATTTCCACAGAGGTTAAGCTAGTTTATATTCCCATTAGTGGTGTATAAGAATTCTCTTTTATCCACATCTGTGCCAGCATTTATTGTTTGTTTTCTTAATAACTCTCATTCTGACTGGAGTAAGATGGATTCTTGATTTGTTTCTCTGGTAGCTAGTGACATTAAACATTTTTCATGTATTTGTTGGCCACTTGTAATTTTTCCTTTATCACTGTCTTTTCATTAGTATGTATATTAATTTGGTTGTTTTCTTATTGCTAAGTTTTTAAAGTTATTTGTATATTCTAAGTATTAGGCCTCTTTTAGATGCATAACTGTCAAAGATAATTATTTTTTATTTTTTACAATTTATTTACTTTATATCCAATTGTAACCCTCCCATCTCCCAGCCCCCCTTACCCTCCTCTTCCTCTTTTGTCCCGATCTCCTAGTTGACTGAAAGGGGGAGTCCTCCTCCCCTACCATCTGACCCTAGCCTATCAAGTCGCATTAGGACTACCTGAGTCCTCCTCCTCTTTGGACTGGCAAGGCTATCCCAGAGGGGGATATAATCAAAGAGTGGGCAATAGAGTCCATGTTAGAGACAGCCCCTGTTCTCCTACTAGGGAACCCACATGGAGACTAATTGCTTTTGGGCTACATCTGAGTAGGGGGTTCTGGGTCTTCTCCATGCATCAGTATCTGCAGGATAGATCTTGAAGTGTTGTCCCTACTTTTTCTAGTTGAAAAAGTAGGGACAACACTTCTTTTTCTCTTCATACCCTAGGTGCTACATTAATAGCACTACAGCTCGTTAATTCCATACTGTTTGATAATAATTCCAACTGTTGATAATATCCTGTGTGGTACCTGATGTACACATTCAGTGTTTATTAAATATTAGGGATAAAGTTTGTATTTGAAAGAAAATTTAGTAATCTCTGTAGTTGGGTAATGGTTTGTGGTTATTTTGTTTTGACAGTGGTGGCAGTGGGGTAGAGTGTCTAACAGCAGGGTAGTTAGTTCTTTACCCTTCTTTTTATATAAATACTTTTACTAGAATAGCCTGTTTAACAAATTTTCAGTCTTGGTGAGTAAATGTTACTATGAATATTAAATGCTTGCTATTAGGACCACTTTAATATGTAGAGTGGTCAAGATGCTGTAATTGGTGTGTGTGTGTGTGTGTGTGTGTGTGTGTGTGTGTGTGCGCGCGCATGTGCATGCACGTGCATAGACAAGATGAACTTCAGGTTTTGCGGGGAGGTTGGTATTTGAGGCAGGGTTTCTGTGTAACCTTGGCTGTCCTGGAACCCACTCAGTGGACCAGGCTGGCCTTGAACTCATAGAGATCTGCCTGCTTTTGCCTCCTGAGTGAAAGACATGTGTCACCACCACTGGCTTATTAAACTTTTCAATGATGAATAGGAAATGATGAATATAGAGGTGGTGATTGTATGTATGAGAAGTCAGAAATTGCTTATTTGCTTTTGCAGTAACGTGAGTAAATCTAATTTAGCCCCTAGGTCCTAAAATAAACAACCTGGGGGTGGTGGGCGAAGAGTGCTGCATCAAATAACAGCTCTCTTTTTCCTCTTTTAGGCAATCTTAAAAAAAGTGAACAACTTCTGCATAAAGCTGTAGAGAGCGGAGCGGTGCCGCTGCAGATGCTGGAGGTTGCCATCCGCAACCTGCACCTCCAGAAGAAGCAGCTGCTTTCAGAGCAGGACAAGAAGAGCTTCTCAGGTGACTGTCGCTATGTGCTGCGCTTGGCTGGCGTGGTAAAATTAAGATTCAGAGTACTTGCAAGAAAAAAAATCATTTAGGTATAATGCTTAAAACCTAAAGATAAATTGTAGCTGTGTAGGAGGAAGGTAAGAAACAAAGATTCTTCCTGCATTAACTTTGTGTTGCTGACTCCTTACCAATGACTTGGTCAAAGTAGAAGACATTTCAAGTGATAGTCGGAAAGAAATGTACTGACGACATCATCGTGATTCCATATCCTGCATGAGGGCTCTTACTGTTAGAAGTTGTCTTTTAAAATACTCCTATTTGTAAGATTACTCTTTTTTGTAAAGGTAATTATATTGTGAGATTTTTACCACATCTACAGTACTAACTGCCCAAGAGTCATTCGCCAGTTCACTTGGAAATTTACAGAATAGGAGCATCAATTGTGATTCCAGAGGACAGGCTCCTGCAGCCAGGATTTTATATGGGTAAGAAAATGAATTCAGTTCTTTACAGGGTTAGCTTTTGTATATATACATATGTATATTTTCACACAAGTGTAATAAGACTTAGCAGTAAAATGAAGATATGTTTTAATAATATTCTCTGAATATTTTCTTTCTATTCAGAGAAAACATGCCTCCTCAAGATGCAGAAATAAGTCATCAAAATCCCTTAAAGCAGACTACCAAAACTAAGCGGGTAAGTCATTTGTGGTCTGCTTTGAGGAAGGTCATGGATGTGGTAGATTCTTTATGTGCCTAGTTGGTTACTTAATCTTTCAAATAATTTCTAGTCCTGCCCCTTTGGAAGAATCCCAGTTAACCTTCTAAACAGCCCAGATTACCATGTGAAGACAGATGGTTCATCGGGGCCAAATTTTACAAAAAGGTATGTTTCAGTTTGGCTTTTTAAAATTTGTTTATATGTAAAGATTGTTGTCAGACTATCTTACCTTTTTACTAAGTAATACTAACAGAGTTAATTTATTTTTCTTTGTAGTTCTAGGGATTGAGCCTAGTTTAGGCCTTATATCTGCTAGGCAAGTTATATGTGCCATTGAGCTACATCCATGTCCCTCTTTTTACTGTTTATATATTTGAGACTAAGTTCACTAATATTCCTGGGCTAGCCTTAAACTCTGTACCCCAGTCATAATCTATGCCTTCTGCAATTTATGGATGATTGTGTCCAAACAGGCTTGGCATAATTAATTTTTTTTCTTTGGTGGTAGAAGTTACTGGGTTTCCTTTTAGTTTGTTTTTATTATTTGAGATATATACTCCCAAGATGTCTGGTGGTCTTCCTGCCTCTGTCTTTTGAGTTCTGGATTTACAGATATGTACCACCAGGCCTGGCTAAAAGTGAATTTCTGACTGTTGTCAGGAACAAATTTGTGAATAGAAGAAATGACTTCAGTTTTTTTCTTATTAAAAATATTTGAAGAGATATTATTTAAAAGAAAATATATTGGAAAATACCAAGTGAACATGGCGTGTGGAAGCTATGAAGAATGAAACTTGTGGCATTTGAGTATTTCTTCTTAACGAGTATGTCTGATGGGAAGCTTACAGTGTGTGTGAGAAGCTTCAGAGCAGGGATTGAAGGTGGTTTGAAAACAGACTGTTTTTAATCCACTTAAGGGGCTGATTGGGGAATGGTGGTGAGTTCATTTTGTTTCAGAGCTCAGGGCCTCCAGAAGTGGGATAGAGGCTAGGAACATAGCTCTGATAGAATACACAGTAAACGTGCAGTGGCCTGGGCTAGTCCCGCAGCACCGAGAAAGAAGTAGAATCAGCTAATTGGCTGCTGGGTGAAGTGGCACAGACCTGTAATCCCAGCCAGCAGGGTGCTGAGCTTTAAAAACAAGCACTTGGTCACCCTGGGCATCATACTGAGAAGCCATCTCTTAAAGCAGATATGCTACGCTCAGTAACGAAGCATTATTCATCACATTTGATCTATTTTCCTACTCTCAATTTGGGTAGGATATAAGAAATGGAAATGTGCTGGAGGGGGTGGTGTTGAGAAACACAACTGTTTTAGTTGGTGATTTCAGTAATTGAAGTTCTGTTTTATTTAGTCTTTGAATACTATTGAAGGTTAAAACTGTATTTGCATATTCCTGTTTTTATCTTGCCCTTCCATTTCAAGTACTTAGTTGAAGCATGTAGTAGTTTCCCTATTACTCTAAAAATGTATTTTTTAAACTCCTCAGGCTTCACTTAGCCAGGTTCTGCATCCTTTTTAAGGCAGACTGTATGCCAGATTACAGAGGGCCACATGGCAGTGCATGGTGTGTTCTTATCCTTGATCTGTGTGCAGCCTGAAATGTAGTTTCACCTACATTCTTTTCCTTTCCCACATTCTTATCTTAGTTCCAGCTGTAACTTATTAGGTAATGAAAACACTGGCAATCATCTATCTGCTCATCAATTTTGTTGTTGCCCAGTACCTAATTTTTAAGTACAGTCACCTTTGCATTAGAATTATGTCACTATTAAAGATGCCTTTTAAAGAGATTCTTCCAATTCAAAGTGTGTGTATATACCAAGTATGTGTATTTAAAATGAAAAATGAAATAATTTCATGTTAACTATTAAAATATTTTTGTCTCATGGGTAATAGAAAGATATCTGGATCAGAATACCGAGATTTGATTGTGCCTGGATCCAAATCAAGTGGAAATGATTCCTATGAATTGAGAGGTTTAAAGGTATTTCAATTTTTAATGTATGTGAAGCAAAGGTTCCTAGTCTAGAGATCATAGAGCTTTCTTTTTAGTTTTTTGGGACAGGGTTTCTCTGTGTAGTCTTGGCTTTCCTGGACTTGCTTTGAAGACCAGACTGGCTTTGAACTCACAGAGGTCTACCTGCCTCTGCCTCCCCAAATGCTGGGGATACAGGCATGTGCTACCACACCCAGCTCATAGAGCTTTCTTTAGGGAAAGGATCTAGTGTTTATCTTCAAAGTGTCGGTGAAGGCACGAGACATTTGAGATTGCCACTAAAAGGTAGGTACCATAGCAGTTTTGGACTGTTTCTCAAAGACTAAGGTGTTAGAGCAAGTATCAACCATCTTTTAGAAGAAGCATGAGATCCATTAAGTAGGCATATGTGTAAATGGATTAGTAGGCCTGGGAATCAACATGAAAGCTCTTCCCCAGGTTTTGTTTATTGGAATGCTTAATCATCTGATTCTGACAAAGCACCTTAAAACCCAGAGCATATGTTGGTGCAGAGGTGAGGGCATAAGTATCTAAGCTGATCTGCTGTGGCCCCACCTTTATTAACTTTACGCAGGAAATGACTAGTTCCAAATGCAGTGATTTGTAGGGGTTCTAATATTCTTAGTACACTTGGCTTCAATTCCTGGCATTGTGATGTGAATTTTAAACATTAGAAGCTTTGAAGATCTTTGCTTTAAAATACTAATTTTCTCTACTTCTAGGGAATGGCTCTTAATTGTTTTAAAAAGATCAGTCTAATTTATAATAACTACTCTTTTGAGGTTATATACATGCTAATTTTTACTAATGATATATTACTTTGGTAATATAGTAAAATTGGGAGGGGGGATTTGGCTCAATGGTAGGGTTCTTAACTACCACTTGTGAGGCTCTTGGGTTCCATACTAAAGAGTAGAGTCATGTAAACAAGATACTTTGTTCTGAGACAGGGTTTTCCTCTGTAGCTGTGGCTGTCCTGGACTCAGTTTATAGACTATGCTGGCTTGAACTCACAGATATCTGCCTGCCTCTGGCTCTGTGAGTGCTGGGATTATGGGCGTGTGCTACCACGCCTTTTAAGATGCTTACTTTTTTTTTTTTTTTTTTTTGTCATCAGGCTTATTCTATGTTGGATACAAATTTTCTAACACTTTAAATTTTGAGTGAAGTATAGTGTAGCAATTAAGTAATATTTATATTTATATCCTCTGAAAGCAAATTACCCAGGTTAATGGCTATGATCCTTCCTGATATTGTAATCAGTAACTGAAGAAGTTAATATTTTCTGGGATTTTCCGAGGACTCTCAAATATGGGAGATAGTTTTGCAAGCAATCTTTTCACATAGATAAAACTTTATTATATTGAATAGCAAGACAAATTTGAGCTACTGTGATTTATGGTACATTATCTTATTTGAAATCTCTCAATGCTTTTTATGTAGCCCATTCAAACTGTCCATTTTAAAGACTCTCTGATATCCAATGAGAAGAGTCCTGAACTTATGTCTGACTCAGTAACCTTGAAGAATAAAACAGAATCAAGTCTTCTAACAAAATTGGAAGGTAAGTGTTCATACAAGCAACCTGACTGAACTCAGTGGGCTGTTTACAAAAGAAGGGCATGAAAGTCAGAGGGAAACTTGTTGGGAATAAAAAGGATCTCTATGGGGGAGAGGGAGGGTTAAGAGAAGGTAACCATGACATGAAAATGACTAAAATTTATTCTGTGTATATTTGAAACTATCAAAGAATAAAGCACAGTCATGCACACACACACAGAGAGACACACACTGACAGCAGAGATGGCTCTGTGGGTGAAGTGCTTGCTATGTATGCATGCGGACCCAAATGCAAATCTTCAGAACCCACATAAAGCTTAATTTGGTAGTACAGCTCTGTAACCCTCACACCTACAGTAAGATGGGAGGCAATACCCCGAAACTCACAGGCTTTTTATTTTTATTTTTATTTTATTTAATACACACAGACAAGAACAATAAGAGACCCTGTCTCAAACAAAATGGAAGGCGAGAACTGGTACCTAAGGTTTTTCTCTGACTTCTGTGTGCTAGCAAACACAAATGTGCACACATATCTTACAAATCCATGTAGCTTGAAAAAACAGTAATGACCAAATTGTGCTGAACTATTTTGTCTTCCTTTATTTTCTATTTTTTGTTTTTACAGAATGCATGAGAAGTATTGTATCCTATAGGAGAGAGGAAGATATTTGCTTAAAGGGTGCAAAAAATGCAGAGAGGAGGGACAATACATTGGAACTGAGTTATTTTTCTTAGTTGGCTTGGCAGCTATTTTTACTAGAGAACAAAAATGCAATTTCTTTTTTTTTCCTTAAAAAATTTTTTTTATTAATCACAGTTTATTCATTTTGTATCCCAGCTCTAGCCCCTTCCTCAGTCCCTCCCAATCCCACCTCCCTCCCTCATCTCCTCCTATGCCCCTCCCTGAGTCCACTGATAGGGGAGGTCCTCCTCCCCTTCCCTCTGACCCTAGCTTAGCGGGTCTCATCAGGACTGGCTGCATTGTCTTCCTCTGTAGCTTTGTAAGGCTGCTCCCCTCTCCGGGGGAGGTAATCAAAGAGCCAGCCACTGAGTTCATGTCAGAGACAGCCCCTATATCCCTTAATAGGGAACCCACTTGGAGACTGTGCTGCCATGGGCTACATCTGTGCAGGGATTCTAGGACCATGAATGGTCCTGGGTTGGAGTATCAGTCTCAGAAAAGACCCCTTTGCCCAAATATTTTGGTTCTGTTGCTCTCCTTCTGGAACTCCTGTCCCCTCCAGGTCTTTCTATCTCCCCCTTCTTTCATAAGATTCCCTGCACTCTGCCCAAAGTTTATCTATGAGTCTCAGCATCTGCTTTGATACTTTGCTGAGTAGTCTTTCAGAGGCCCTCTGTGGTAAGCTCCTGTCCTATTCCCTGTTTTCTCCCTCTTCCAATGTCTGTCCTGTTTGCCTGTCTGAGTGTGGATTGATCTCTTACCCAGAGTCCTCCTTCTTGCACAGCTTCCTTAGGCGTACAGATTTTAGTATGTTTGTCCTATATTATATGTCTAATATCTACTTATAAGTGAGTATATACCATATCTGTCTTTTTGCTTCTGGGATACCTCATTCAGGATGATCTTTTCTAGTTCCCACCATTTGCCTGCAAATTTCATGATTTCCTTGTTTTTAGTTGCTAAGTAGTATTCCATTGTGTAAATGTACCACAATTTCTGTATCCATTCCTCTGTTGAGGGACATCTGGATTATTTCCAGATTCTGGCTCGAATAAAGTTGCTACAAACATGGTTGAGCAAATGCCTTTGTTGTGTACTTGAGCATCTTTTGGATATATGCCTAGGAGTGGTATAGCTGGATCTTGAGGAAGCACTATTCCTAACTGTCTGAGAAAGCACCAGATTGATTTCTATTTTGTAGCCCACTTTCATTTTTCTTTTAAATCAGACTTTGGCTTCCCACTACATAGGTACTGTAATAAATGCTCTAGGGACCCAATAATTTTAGGAACTGGGTCTCAAAATTGCAAATAAATTTTGGGATGTATATAGAATAGGTAACATCTAATGTGGACTAAAATATAAAGATTGTTAGGAGAGATGCAAGTAAAATGCTATGAGAATTTAGGAGAAGGGAAATTTTAGGAACCTAATTTGGATTAGGAAAAATGTTTGAAAGAGAAGAAATTTGAAAACCTTTCAGCTTTTAACTGAGGACCCATCTTGGGGGGATAGCTTAGGCTAAAGAATAAAACACATAAACGGGGCTGTCCAGTGGCTCTGACACTGGAAGACAAATGGTGTACAAGTAGGAAGTGAGACTAACTTTAGTGACATGCTCACACTTCATGTCTTTTTACGCCTCCAGCGTAAGCAGCTGGTTTCAGGGGAGGACTGGGGTTTATCAGATGACTCTGAGTGTGTTCTAATGCTTTCCTCAAGGTGTGATCATATTTTAATATTCATGGGAAGCCCATAGTCTAGGTTGCAGTGCTTTTCTCTTTACTTGTCAAGGAGGGACTTTGAAGCCAAGTAAGGCCCTCCTGTTTGCCTGGTGCTTTCATGGTTTTAATCTTGGAAACCTAGTGCCCAGGAAAGCATCTGTTCCAAGTAGTGTTTCATCTGTAGAATAGTCTTTTATTCTTTACCTCAACATTGATTTGGGACAGATTCCTAACATTGGTGTTTGTTAGAAGCTATATTTCATGTTTTCTTGTCTTTTGATACCATTGGGAAAGTCACCCTTATCAAATATGCCTGTTGATAGTATTCAATTGATAGCTAATTTGATGAAACAGACTTCTGAGTTTCTGTACATTCTGACTTCCCAGTCTTTGCCTTTATACTTTGTCTTTATTTTGAACAAGGTTTATGGCAGGATCCTAAACATATTTGCAGATTTTAGACAATCATTTTGTCTTTCATTTTTAATTCACTTTTGCCTGAACTTGACATGAATGTAAATATGTATGTGTAAGATAAAGTGTCTTGATTTGATTTTTATTTTTCTCGTACAAATGTCTACCTGACACAGTGCTATGTTTTCATACCCTCTTTTCCCTGTCTGGAAACTTGGGTGATTCTATTTTGGTATTTGGTTTGGGCTTTTTTTTCTCTGTTTCATAGTTACTTTTATTATAGTGAATCTTGATGTCCATTAGTTCTAATGTGTTTTCAGTTTTCTTCCTTAGGATTATTTTAGTTCTTATAAGCATTTTAAATTTACATAAAAAATACAAGATTCTATGTTTCAGTTTCCATTGGAAAATGGAAGTTTGATTGAGAAGCAGTTGAGCCTGTAAAGATATCTGAGGCAAATTGTCATCTCCACTCTTGAGCTTTTGAGATCACTAGCCTGGCCTGTTTTCATCCACTTGATACACTAATAGCTGATAGTTTTGGGCTTGTGATAATGGAGTGTACCCTTTGCTTTACAAAATTTTTGTGTTCAACTTTATTGCTAGTTTATAAAATTGATTTATTCTTTTTTTAAAAGGTAAATTGTCATTGCTAAATTAACTGAACGATTCTAATAATTTCCCTGTGTGTTTTTTAGGGTGGTTCTTGTGTGTATGCCTGTTTTATTTATTCTTTATTGAGACAAGTTCTCACTTTAGGCTCCGTAGCTGTCTTCAAACTCAAAATTTTTCCTTCCTCAGTCTATTAAGGGCTGGAATTACAGGCATGTTCTACAATGTCCAGTTTGTGGGTGTTGATAGGTTCACGATCATGTTTGAAAATAGTGTGTCCCTTTTTCTTTCTAATCCTTTCATTTTGTTATTCTGCAACTTTAAGATGTTAGGGTTAGGATTTCTCAGGGGGGATGGTAGGTGAACTTTTTGCTTCAGTCTTTTAAGTGGACATTTTCAGTTTCAGTATCATAACTCTTAAAATGATAGCTGCTGTAAAGTTTTATTGTTGCTTTTTTTATTTGATTCTGTTAGGTCTATTTTGGGCCTACGTTATTAATATCTTTTGTGTATGGGTGTGTGGATGAACATTGAATTTATCATGGCCTTTTGTTGCGTAGTTATTGCTTTCTGATTGTAGCAAGATACACTGATTTTTTTTTTTTTTTCAGGTATTTAGCTAACAGCATTTAAGGAAAAATCATATTTGGGTATAATTTATTAGGTCTTATCAGTTGTTAATGTTTGCTTAGTTTAGAGTTTTGATACTCATCGAATAGCAAATGCTATTGACATTTTTGTTTATAAGTCTTTGAGACAGTTGGTTATAAGTTAGTGTAAAATAAAATCTGTATTTTTAAGTGGAGGTCTGAGAACAGTGGTAAGACTTTTTAATATTTGTTAAAAACCAGAAGCACTTAAGTCTCGATTGGTCTAGGCAAGTTAGTTCCTTACAGTTTGTAAACCTGACTCCTTCCTTCCTTTCCACTTTTTAATACCATGTTATTTTCAGAGTAAAAATGAAGCATAGTTTATATCACATTCCTATTGCTAAAGCTTGCTTGTTTATTTGGGGTTTATTCTGTTTTGAACTTGGGTCTGGGTGCATTGACCAAGCTGTTTCAGACTCGCTGGTTCAAGTCATCCTCTCCTATCTCAGCCCCCTGAGTCGCTGAGACTACAGGTGAATGCCACCACATCTGGCCTTAAATATTTTTATATCAAATATTAATTTTTAATGTTAACAATAAAATTTCAGAAACTAAAGTGTGTCAAGAACCAGAGATTCCCGAAAGAAAGCACAGACAGTGGCAGTCTGCAAGAAAGCCAGAGTGTGTGAGCCAGAACCCTGCTGCATTTTCACACCAGTGGCACATTCCAGATGCAACCCCGAAGGCTGAGAAAGAGGTGACTTTCTGTTCACTTTACTAAGTTATTGTCTTTGGTAATATGTGTCTGAAATTTGATGGATATGTTGGGTATTCGTTTTGACGTGTTTGTGCCATATTTACTGTAATAGTTTAATTATAAGATGTTATTTTTCAGAATACTATGATCAGTAGCACATACAGGATCAGTAAGAGCACACATGAGGATAAATTCTGTTTTTGTCAGTATTACTAATAGATGGTTGTAGCTTTGTTGTTTGTTTGTTGTATGTGGGTGGTATGTGCCTGTGGATGCAGGTGCTTATGGAGGCCAGTCAGTGGACCAGAGTTACAGGTGGTTGAGAGGGACCCAATATGGGTGCTGAAAATCTAACTCAGATCTTCTACAAGAGTAGAAGGGCATTGAGCCCTTTCTCTAACCCTACACCTAGATTTATAGCCAAGAGAACCGAACAAGTATATCCATAAAAATGTCTGGAAATGAGTATTGTTCATGGTAGAATGTTCATAGCTGTGCCAAAAATATTTATATCATGTGGTACATCTGTGTAATGGAGTATTACTAATACATCAGTGAAGTACTGATATACACTTATAATCTAAGTGAATCTTCAAAAATTGGTAAGTGTAAGAAACCTATTACAAGAGGCCTTTGGTTCTATGAGCTAATGTTAGATGTTGCGAATAGATAAAACCATAGACATGGAAAGTAGGTTAATTGTTGGTGGAAGTGGGTGCCATAAGAAATGAGTGACTTGTAGATGTGGGGTTTCTTCTTGCTAGGAGATGAAAATATTCTAAATTCAGTACTGAAAATTTGAAAAGCATTCTTAGAACCAACAAGAAAAAAGCAGCCGGTTTCTTGTGATCCCTGCTGATTGAGCAGCCTTCCTAAAAGAAGTTTATTTTTGTCACACATGTTACTTTATACCTGTGAGTTTTCCATTTCTGTTTTAGGTTGCTTCTCCCTAACTTTCTTATAAAAGGCCTGCTCTTCTGAGGCTTCTGCCTTCCTAGTATACCATCGTGTTCTTTACTCATTGCTGTCCTATCTGGAAATCCTGGTGACTCCACATTATTCCTTAAAAATACTCTGGGTCAGACATGGTGGTACACACTTTTAATCCTAGCACATGAGAGGCAGAGATAAGCAGATCTCTGTGAGTTCAAGGCCAGTTTGGTCTAAGTATTTAGCTCCAGGCTAGCCAAGGCTACATAGTGAGACCATTTAGAACAATGGTTCTCAACAATGGTTCTCAACCTTCCTAATGCTGTAACCCTTTAATATAGGTTTCTCCTATTATAGTAACCCCTAACTATAAAAATATTATCATTGCTACTTTGTATCTGTAATTTAGCTACTTTTATGAATGATAATTTAAATGTTTTTGGTGATGGGGGTTTGTCAGATGAGTCATGACCCACAAGTTGAGAAGCCCTTATCTAGAACAAAATAAAACAAAAACAAGTAATATGAGCTTCGCAACATACAAAAGCAAGCAACTTCCTGGTTTCTTCTTGCTTCTGCACCCATGCCTAACATCATCAGTAGTATAGCTGGCCTTCAAATTCATAACTCTCCTCTAATATTAGACTATTTCCTTATTGGTAGCCACATGCACATATATCCTTAGTTCTTATTTCCAAAATACCAAATGCGAACATCCCACTCTGACCACTATCCTCAACATTTTCATTGCTCAGTGACTACTAGAGCAGTTCCTTAATCGCATCTTCTTCACTAATCCTAGTGAACATGTACACATTCATATGTATATGTGAGGAGATCTTAAATGAAAGAAAATGTGTATGAGAGGCCTTTTAGCCATTTTTAACAATTAAGAAGATTCCAGTACAGAAAGTAGAATAGATTTATCCTGTGTTGACTTATGGGCTCCATCTGTACTTGTGCTCTTGTACATGAATACCTGCGTGCATGTACACAAACATGTATATGTGTCTAATTTAAAAACGCTAAGTCATAGAATTTTAATTTTTCTTTTAGCAGAAGTGTACCACTGTTGAGCAACTTGCCCTTTCGGTTTCAAAGCAATCACCACCGATGTCAGTTCCTAAGTGGATGGATCGAAAGTCTGTCAGTGAGACACCTAGTAGCAATTCCTTGGATGATTACATGAGCTGGTATGAGCCATTCCTTGGATGATTACGTGACCTTTTGCACTGAGCTCAGATTGCAAGGTGGTACATAGAAATGAGACAGGCTTTAGGACCAAACTAAATTGGGTTGAACCTGTTCTCTTATTTAAAATTACTGTTTTCCCCAACATTAGTTTTTGTTACCTGTTAAATGCAAAGGGGAAAGTAGTTATGATTACATGTATATTGTCTTCATGTATAATTATTATTTTTAAGGACTGTTGTGGAAGTAGCCTTTTCACATTATAATCTTAATTATAGCTTGGAAAGCTAAGAATGCTGTCAGTCTTTTGCTTGTGAACATGTATGCCTCTCTGATTGAGAAACATTTTAAAGGAAGTTTTAGCGTTCTTAGAATGGATGGATAGATATTTCATTGTATGAAGTATTTAGAATGGCATGTGTTCTGAATGAGATCAGGTGTATAATTCACATAGCTTAAAGAGTATTCAAAGATACAGGACTTGGAACAAGAGTGTTGGATGTGTGAGGAAATTGGATGGTCAGTGCTGATAAAAACGGACTATAAAAGATATTGTAAAAGAAAATGAGTGACATTAAAAACAAAATAGTCTGCACCCATTGGACTTATTTTTAATGTTTTAAGGAATAACATAACTCCATAATGGTTTTAGTTTTTTATTTTCAGAATGTCATTTTTTTTTTTTTTTTAATTTGTTTTGGCTTTTTAGGGGTTTTTTTGCTTGCTTTTTTTTTTTTTTTTTTGAGGCAAGGTTTTCTCTGTGTAGCCCTGGTTGCCATGGAATTCACTCTGTAGACCAGGCTGGCCTTGAACTCTTGTCTGCTGGGATTAAAGGCAAGTGCCACCACCATCTGGCGAGAATATCACTTTTTACCCTAATTATAACTATCCTTTCTATAATCAGTGTCTTATCTATTTAACACAATTTTATTGTTTCCTCATTTTATTAAATTTAGGATATCTCAAAGAATGATTGCTAGCTAAAAAAAATGCATATCACTCTCTCTTGCTCTCTTTCTCTTTCTCTTTCTCTTTCTCTTTCTCTTTCTCTTTCTCTTTCTCTTTCTCTTTCTCTTTCTCTTTCTCTCTCAACAGAATTTCTCTGTTTAGCCTGGACTCACTTTGTAGACCAGGATGACCTTGAACTCACAGATGTGCCTGCCTCTGTCTCCTTGAGTGCTGGAATTAGATGGCGTGTGCCACCACACCCAGCTAATAATGCATTCTATTTTATTTATTTGTATGTGTATGCTATATGCTCAAATAAATCTGAAGGTGCACGTGGATTTCCCTGCAGGCCAGAGGGGGGATGTCGCCCTCCGCTTTACTCCCTTTAGATAGTATCTCATAGAATGTGGAGCTAGGCTGGCAGCTAGCAAGCCTTAGCAGTACCTGGGCCCCTACCCCCCACATTCCCCTTTGTGGTTTCAGGCCTGTACATAGCTGTGCATACCCAACTTTTTACACGGGTGATGGGGATTTTGACTCAGGTCCTTATGTTTGCACAGCAGGTGCTCTTACCCTCTGAGCCATATTTCCAACCCCAGATTATTTATTGTTAAAAATTTTTTTTTTTTTTTAGATTTTTTTTTTTTTGTACCAACTGCTGTTACCAATATCGAGGGTAGATTTACATAGAAAGGAAACAAAGTGTAAATGTGTGCTGAATAGACACAAACTGGAAGACCCAACCCCTTTGGTGACATAATTGGCTCTTTGCTATTTCTAGAAGACTGTCAATAGAACATTGTTGTTTAAAAATCTGTGGTCAGTTATAAGCCAACCTTTGTTTTGGCTAAACTGTTACAAAAATTTCCTTACTCCCTATTTTTAATTCCATCTTGTTTATTTTATTAACAAGGATTTGTTGGGGGATTAAAAAAATGAAATTAGAACAGTTTTTTTTCCAAATAAAATATCTGTTGGTGACATAAGTAGAACACATAAGTATTAGCTCTTATGAAAAACTAGTTAATGTGACAATTTTAGGTTTATGTGATTTCTTTTAGAATACATGGGGACTTAAAAATATTTTTAATTTTTTAATATTTTATATTAAAGAAAATAAAAATCTTTTTTTAGTTTTAAGACTGCCGTTGTAAAGAATGACTTTCCACCTGCCTGTCCATCATCCACACCATACAGCCAGCTTGCCTGCCTGCAGCAGCAACAGCAGCAAGGACTCAGTACTCCTCTTCAGAACTTACAGGTTTGATAAGCACGGTTTACAGTGGCGTATGTTAGGGTGCAGTCAGTTTTATAGATTTTGCTCTCACAGTATCAGGCTGTTGGGGAAGGTCTTCAGAACCTGTCTGTTCATTTTGATAAGGGTGTGTCTCCCACATGTTCTCAGCAAGTAGGCCCAAGGATCCAGTTTAAATAGTTTAATAAAACTTGTCTTGTAATGGAGCTTACTTTCTATTTTTGAGTAGCTTTATTCCCTTTGTTACTATGTAATTCAGTTAGAAAGATAATCTTCTGGATAAGCAGAATAGCAGTATGAGGTACTTAGAATGTATTATAATTGTTGTAAACTTAACAGATTTTGCTGACATGAAAGTTACTATTTGACAAAAAACTACCAAGTAATTGGAATTATTGTATAGTATCTCTGAGAATAGTGTGAACATGAGTCTGATAGACAGACTTCATGGATATCATTCTTGGCTTCACTATTCACCAGCTGTGTGATCTTTGGCAAGTTACAAGAGCTCTTTATACCCATTTCATCATGTATAAAATGGAGAAATAACTACCTGCTGCTAGAATTGTTGTGGAGGTTACTTCTGCCAAATTCCAAGCATCATCATTTATTAACCAATCATCTTTAAATTAGGTAGAGCAAGGTTTACACAACAAGGACAGGTATACTGGAAAATGGTTGAGCAGAGACAAGATCTTGGGAGCCAGTAATTAACAATAAAATACATATCACCAGGCCAACCCCCAAAAGACCAGTGTACGTAATACCACTGAACTGTACTTAAAAAGGCAAAGTTGGACTATGTGTATATATTTGCCCTTATTTTAAAAATGAACAAAAGATTATTTGACAATAGGTTATATAACACTAGCTATGGAATGAGTAGCCACAGGCTGGAAATGATATAAGTTACAAAGTGAAAGGAAAAGCCTGGCATGGTGGCACATAGTGCTTGGGAGACAGAGGCAGGAGCATCCCTGTGAATTTGAGGCCAGCCTGGTCTTCATAGTAGGTTCCAGGGCATCCAGGCTTAAATAGAAAGACCCTTTCTCCAAAGAGAGAGATTTCTGTTGATTCAAGATCTGTTTTTTGACCTTTTAGTGCTAAGAGGTCCTGTTCTGGTTAAAATCTAGAAAGCAATTCAGAAGTGACTGGAAAGGGGGCTTGAAAATGTTCTAGAGGAGGCCACTGTCAGGAAGGATTTCAAAAGGAGTCAGGTGTGCCCTAGAGCTCAGGAAACAAATGCAGTGGTCAAGGCTTTGCTGGCCTTAGCAGTTGTGGGTGGGATAGAGAAGCAGACTAAAATGATCTGTGCAGTAGTTTGGAAGGTCCGGCCCCAGTGAAGAGGTGGACAGGGATGAGGGAACCATTCTTAGCCTGGCATTGAAGTAGAGTTCACCAGTGTTAACTGTATTATGAAAAAAGTGCCCTCAGTATTGTTAAGGATGTCAAATGATTATTTCCCAAGAAATGCTTTTTAAAAAGGAACAAAGAGAACACATGGGAGACAGCTTTGTCTTAAAAGTCCCAAGAATAGGAAATTAGAACCCATCTGTATGTTTCTATAGAAGATTACATGAAAATTTTATCATTTTGGATTTAAAACATGATTCAGTTAAACTGAAGTTTATTCAGACTTTGACTGATTGGCTAAATCAAAACCTTCCTGTTTTAGCTTTACTATATCAAAATAAGGCCTCTTAACATGCCATCTCTTTAAAGTGTTGTAAGCACAAGGCGAGACCACCCAGGTATAAGAGAAGGAAGGAAATGGCAACTAATATGCATCAGTTGATAGATTGCCTGGAACGATGCTGAGGTTTAGAGAAATTACATGACTTCTTGTACTTTACTCAAGACAGAAGAGAGAGGGACAGCCATGATGAAATACATACTGTCTAATTGATTGGAGCTCACTGTACCTTGGCACATTGCTTTTATATCTTATTAAATGGGAGAGGGTGGTAAAACAAAATGACTGTGGATCTGTATGTGGAAGAGGGGCAAGGAAAAGAAATAGGAAAGAAAGATGAAATGGGTAGCTCATAAGTTTGTCCATTGGATATTAAATGGCATTCTTAAATTTTCTATTCAGATGAACTAAAAATAATTTAAACGGGGAGACCCTATAGAAGTTCGTTTCTGAGTTAGTTTTTTTTGAGAGTGTCTTTTGTAGCCCAGGCTGCCCAAAATTGGGAGCATTTCACCACACCTAATGCAAACCAGTTTCTTAGACATGTTTTTTTAACTTATATTTACATATTTTAATTGTTTAGATTTCAGGATCCCCATCAATGAACGAATGCATTTCGGTTAAAGGAAGAATTTATTCCATACTAAAACAGATAGGCAGTGGAGGTTCAAGTAAGGTAAGTAACAAATGAATAAAAATATTCTGTCTTTTAAAGTATGGGATCTCTTTTATCTTCAGAGCCCATGTTGCTCTGGAGCCAGAAAAGCTGCCTCATCATTCTTCCCTCCTCCTTCCCCTAAAATAATCTCAGTCTCATGCCTTTCCTCCAGTGTACTGTGCTTTCTGATTCCTTCTGTGCCACAGTAACATTGGTTTGCAGTGCCCAGAAACCACTGTCTTATTACAGAGACTGGAAAGTTATGTCTCATGGCATGATCTGGTGTGCTTAGGGTCATTCAGGAAGAGTTTTTACTAGTGAGTTTGTTTTATTTGAGGTTTTCCATGTTCTAGTAACATGAATTTCTGGAATTAGATTATTTTCTAAGTTTTTCTGAGTGGTTATTTTTAAATGTATTTTTAGTTTTCAGTGTACAGGATTATGGTCTTTCATTTACATCCATTTCCTGTTGATTATTAATATTTAATATTTATTTTTTTAGTTAAACAATGCTTATTCCTAAACCAGCTGTATACCCAAATCACCACACAGAGACTAGGATTTAGTTAATTAACCAAGAACACAATGCTGGGCAATAATTACTTCATCCTAAACCTCCAAGCCTGCAGAGCTTTCTCCCATTCAGATTTCCCCCATTATACTTGCTTTTCAGTCATATCTTAGGTACAGTTCATTTCTCCTGATGTTTCTCTGTCCTCTCAGATTTCTTTTCCCATTCAGTCTTGCTCCTCCCCTTCAGACCTGGATGCCCTATTCTCTCCATTGGTCAGCATTGGCTGGTTATTTTTATTGGCAATACAGAGTACAAATTGTAGCATATTAACACAAACTTGAGACAGGTGATGCTTAGAATAAGCATCACAATGCAATGTCCAGATTGAAACAAGATAGTGGGGTAGAGAAATCAGCATTTGAATGAATAAGGGTAAATTTTCCTATAGATTTCATTTTTCTTTATAGCTAACTAAAATCTCATAAAATCCATATCTCATTATGGATATCTGTTTCTCATCCATTCATCTGTTGATGAACATTTAGGCTGGTTTCATTTTTGCTGTTGTGAATAGAATGGCAGTAAGCGTGGATGCCGGAAGTGTCTGGGTTGTACGAAGAGCCCTTTGGGTAGATGCCTACAAATGACCTAGCTGGGCCATATTAAGACCTCCTATTGACTTTCACAATGCCTGCAACAATTTGTGCTCCCACCACCAGTGAATAAGGGTTCCTCTTTCCCTACGTCCTCACCAGCATTTGTTGTTCGGTTTCTTGATAATATCTATTCTGACTGGGTTGAGGCAGTATCTCAAGTAGTTTTAATATATATTTCCTAGAGCCTTGATCACACCTAAAATATTATTTAGCTATTTGTGTTTCTTTGTAATTTTTTTATTTTTTATTTTAAATATATGACCTTTTGCCTGCTTGTTTGTGCACCACAGAGATCCTTTGCCTGCCAAGTGTAGGGTGCCTGTGGAGGCCAGTGGAGGGTATTGAATGTTCTGGAACTAGAGTTACAGGCAGTTGTTAACCACCATGTGGGTGCTGGGAGTTGAACCATGTTCATGTAAAAGCATTATTTCCTCTCCAAGTATTTTTGTAGTTTCTCGTTACTGATTTCTATTTTTATTCTGATATGATTCAAGGAGTTACCAACATTCGTCTCATTTGTTATGGTTTGCTGTATGATGTGTGATGTGATCAGTTTGGGGAGTTACATATGCTGAGAATATGATTTTGTATTGTTGGGCAGAATGTTCTGGATACTGCATTTGGTCCATGGTATAATTTAGCTCTGAGGTTTATTTATTTTTAGCTTGGGGGTTCTACCTAAATAAAAGAGTGAGGTAGCAAAGATTCCTACTGTGGCCTTTTATGTCTTTTGGTGTTTGTGTTTTAAATTGTGAGCACCAGTATTTAGCCCATAAATGTTTATAAGTGTTCTATTTCTTGATGGATTGTTTCTTTTTATTAACATGTAACATCTCTGTTTATTCCTTCTGTTCAGTTTTGGTTTGAATTCTACTTTATCAGATACAAGAATAACTATGTGTACTTGTCTATACTTATGTTTACTTGGGGCTTTGATTTCTGTCCTTCAAAACTGAGAGGGTTTGCTTTATTTGATGTTTTTGTTCATTACAGGTGTTTCTTGTAGGAAAAATAAAAGTTGATTCTTGTTTTCTAATCAGTCAACCTGCTTGCTCGTTAATGAGTTGAGGCTATTTACACTAAGATTATTATTGAAAGAAGCTTGCTGTTTCTTAAGAATTAGGTGTTGTTCTGGTCAACAGAATTTTTTTTTCTTCTAATTTTGGGAGTTTGCTAGTTTTTTATATTGCACAAAGGTGATTCTTTTCCTGGCTGCTTCTTTGTCAGTGTTGCTTTTGTGGAATATGTGTTTTCATGTGTTCCCTTGGAGGAAGCTGTATTAGTTTTTTGGTTTTTTTTTTTTTTTTTTTTTTTTTCTGTTGTGATAAAACCCTCTAATCTGCCTGGTGTTGTGGTGCGCATGGGAGGCAGAGGCAGATGGATCTCTGTTAAGTTTGAGATCTTTGATCTACAGAGTCTAGGACCAGCCAGGGCTGTTACACAAAGAAACCTTATCTCAAAAAACCCAAAACAAACAAACAAAAACCCAATAAGGCAAACTTGAGAGAGAGTTTATTTTGGCTTACTGTTCAGGAGGGAGACAGTCCACAAGCAGAGCATAAACCTAACAAGTGATAAACATGGTGGCAGGAATAGGAAGCAGAGAGCTCACATTTGGAACCACAAACACAAAGCACAGAGTGCATGCTGGCAGTAGGGCGAGGCCTTCAGCTCTCAAAGCCTGTCCCAGTGACAGAATTCCTCCAGCGAGGCCGAATCCCCTAAACCTTTCCAAACTGTGACTGTCTTAAGTGTCTGAGGCTACAGGAGACAGTACTCACTGAAACCACCACAGAAGCTTTTTTTCTTCTTTCTTATATAATAGTTCTTTTTTAAAAAAAATTTCTGGAGTGCTGGCTTGGTTTGTATGAGTTGCTTTAATTTATGTTTGTCTTAAAATATCCTTTCTCTGTCAGTTTTGAAGAATAACTTTGCAGGGGATGGCATTCTTGGTTCTCAGTTGCTTCTGGATTTGAAATACATCATTTTAAGCTTTTCTTTGCTTTCAGAATTGCAGAGGACACATTATTCTGTGACCTTTCTGGGTGAGCAACGTTTTTTCTGTGCTGCTTTTCATTCTATTTCTTTGTTTTGTGTTCTGAAACCTTGACCGTGATGTCGTGTGGCATTCTCCATGCCTCTTCTATTTGGATATCTACTTCTTTCTCCAAGAAATGTCTTTGGGACATTTTCTGCTATAATTTCATTTGTCTATTTTCCAATTTATCACAGATATTTTTTTTTTTTCTACTCTCTGAATTCTCAGGTTTAGCTTCTTGAATGTATCATGGACTTTTTGGAGTATTGCCTGTGTACAGTAATGTCTTGTCTTATGTATGTCTGAGTGTATTATGGTCTCAACTTTGTCTTCCAAATCTTGTTTAGTAATGATACTTTTTGGTGTAGTTTTTATTTGATTGAACATTTGTTCCCAGTATTTATTTGGTTTCTTTTCCGTGTTAATTTTCATGTCAATTTTTTTCTTCCATGTTCTTCACTTTGTCCTCCAATTTATTGTTTTCTTCACTTTGGAGACTGTCTTGTCAGAATATTGGATTGATTTCCTTAGTTGTGCACGTGTTTGTTTGAGTCTTTTCATCTGGTCATTAATTCGTTTTAAAAGTGGGGCTCTGAATTGTTTCAGTGTCAGTTATTTGGTTTTTTCTGGGACTGCTTGGAGCACTGACGTCAGTTCTTATTCCCTGACTAAGGAGGAGGATGTCATGTACTATCTATACACCATGGTTCTCACCCCAAGCAGTCCCTCCTGCCTTTGTCACTAACCAAGACAGGGAAAACATTGTGAGTACTCTCTACAAACCTTGGTTCTCACCTCACCAGGGTCACTTTTGCCTTTGTCACTAACCAACACAGCTACCCTCAGAATCATTCAGGCTTCTATATTTTTGTTAAATCTGGTTCTATGCTCTGGTTTTTAGGTTTCTTAGTACACAGTTGGGTTTAATTTTATTGTGGTTCTTGCCATTGATGACCACACTCAGACACCTGCAAACACTTTCTTATTCTCTCACACTGACCAATCTTTCTCAGTCTTCCTCATGTCCCTGAACTTCAGGTATACTACCTCAGGACTCAGGCTTTGACCTCTTTTCTTCTCTGTCTAAACTCAAACCTTCCTTTGGTGTTTTCATCCAGTGTTGAAGTTGTAAATGCTGTATTTGTGCTTACAGTTGCCAAACTTGTATTTCTAGTTCAGCACTCTCAATTCCAGACTAACTTTACAAACTTGACTGCTCAGCATCTCTTCTTGGTTACCAGGTGTTTAGGACAGAATGTGTAAACATTCACTCTCTAGTCTTTCCAGTTGCAGTAAATATTCATTCTTATAGTTATTGTCTAAAACCTACTGACTGCTCTTATTCTCATGTACACATTTAGATGGTCAACAAGCCTTGCTCTTCTACTTACCTTTTCAGTAGCTTCAATTTTTTTTTTTTTAATGTTGTCACTTTGTCTGAAGCAGCTCTTATCTTTTTAGTTGGTTTATTACAGTAGATAATAAACTCAATCACTCAGTCTTTGTCGTTCTGTTCTAGTCTATATTGTTTCTTCCTCTTCCCTCCTTCCATCCTTCCTTTGCAGAGTGTCTTGCTTTATATAATCCAGCTAGACTTGAATTTGCAGCAGTTTCGCCTCAGCCTCCCAAATGCTGGGATTACAGGTGTGTACCACCATACCATCTTTGTCTTCATGTCTTTTCTCGAGTGTCTTCTAAAACTGCAGATCCTACCTTCCAATCACCAATGTTCTCCATTCTCTTCTCTTTACTGTAGTTTCCTTTTTCTTTCTTCTTTCTTTCTTTCTTTCTTTCTTTCTTTCTTTCTTTCTTTCTTTCTTTCTTTCTCTCTCTCTCTCTCTCTTTCCTTTTTTTTGAAGGCTAGCCTCAAACTCAGAGATTATCCTGTTTCTGGCTCCTAAGCTTTAAGTGTGTGCAGCCATGCCTATCTGTAGCTTCACTGTTAACCATATTTGTGAAGGTTGTTTGTTGTGTGTGTTTCACCCTGTACCTAACATCAAGATGGCAATGTACACAGCTCAGTGATGTTAGCTCTGGTAACTAGAACTGGATAGAGATTTCATTCGTTTGCTGAATGTTTCTACTGGGCTGTAAGGCTATTCTGTGTTATGCTGATACACAAAACAGGGCTATTGTGTTCATTTAAAGCTTTACTTATAGTTCTCTAAGGCAGCTAATAATAACTAGACTTGCTTGAAGCTATTTTATTAACTAACTGCAAATAAGGAAAGCATCACATGTGGCACTCATCTATAATTTCAGCCTTGGGTAGACTGAGGCGGGAAGATCTCCTTGGACCACATACCTAAGATATGCAGGCTGATGGTATGGCTCTGGTGCAAGGCCCTGGGTTTAATCCCCAACATCAAAACCATAAGCCAAAAAAAAAAAGAGTGTATATTACCACATGTAGCAGGTCTTCCAATAAATATTTTACTTTTCATGTCCCCTTTATCAAATTTTCAGCTATAAGCATAAGGAAGGAAGTGGGGTTAAGAGAGTAATTAAATAGGAGTGACAGGAAAGAAGGGCCAGGGGAAGGAAGTGAAAGGGGAAGAGGGTATGGATGAGATGGTATAATGAAACACTTTGTACATTCCTCTTAGAGAAACTGATGTTGAAAAAGTGAGCTCTTCTTAAGACCTGATGGGCCTTATATATGCATGCAGTCTTAGCCCTCGAGCCCTACACACATTTGGACTCACTCATATATGGGGTAGTCACAGTTAAATGACACACTTTTTAGTGTCAGAGGGTGCAAGTGAATGCATACTATAGGCACCGTGTTCTGGATTTGAATTACTAAAGTTACAAGGCGCCACTGCTGTGCTGTGTGTGCTGGCCTCTTTCAGAACATTATCTCATAAGAATGTTGCTGCTCCTGCCAACCTAACTAAGATGTGACTTACCCTACTTTCCACAAGTGAATATAATAACGATGGCTTACAATTACTGTAATTTTAAAAATATTCTTTATCAAACAAACGAACTTGTTGATGTTAGGCACAACGAAAAAGGGGGGGGAAGTGTCTATTACAGCAGTCCTCATCCTTATCATTTCTGAATGTCTTTTTCTCAAAGTTATTCCCCTGGATAAGGCATCCTAAGAGTTTTGTAAACATAGCAAATCTAAGTTGCTTTTCTTAGATGTTCATGTAGAAAACTAGGGGCTTGCACCTTTGAGTTATTTGAATGTCCATTGTCATAAGGGCTGGGAATGGGCACTTCCTATCTCATCATCACTTTTATTTATTTATTTATTTATTTATTTATTTATTTATTTATTTATTTATTTATTTATTTTTATTTCTACACTTAAAATAAGCCCAGAAACTTCCAGTTATTCATGTTGGTATTTCTTTCAGACTTTTCTCAGCCTAAGACCATTAGAGTTAAATTGAAAAGCGCTGTAATGGTTTACAGAAGGAAGGCGTGTCCTAAGCTTGTCTCTCTGCTTCCTATGCAGGTGTTTCAGGTATTGAATGAGAAGAGACATATATATGCCATCAAATACGTGAACCTAGAAGACGCAGATAGCCAAACTATTGACAGCTACCGCAATGAGATAGCGTATTTGAATAAACTGCAGCAGCACTGTGATAAGATCATTCGGCTTTATGATTAGTATGAATTTGTTTTTATTTTTAAAATAAAACTTTGATTTTGCCATAATTTTTAAGCAAATAGTAAGTCTTTATTGATATACTGTCGGCATTTATTGTTTTGTTGCTTCTGTGTGTTTTTAATTTCAGTGAAATCACAGAACAGTACATCTACATGGTAATGGAATGTGGAAACATTGACCTGAATAGTTGGCTTAAAAAGAAAAAATCCATCAACCCATGGGAACGCAAGAGCTACTGGAAAAACATGTTGGAGGCAGTACACACAATCCATCAGCATGGTATTTTAAACTCTCTCCATCTATGTAAAGTTAAAACAATTGCTAGTTGTGTCATCTTAGAAAAAAACCATATTTTATCAGTTCCTACCTTTGATAATTAACTGGAAGTTCATTTAGAGGTGAAGGCACAAAGCCATTTTTTAAGACTGGCTATGCATAAGATACAGAACACAAATGTAAATCCTTACATATATAATATAACCTTATCCTCCTCAATAGTAACTCAATATTAACTTGGATTGAAGTAGGGCCTAGACTTGAGGATTTGGGCATCCCAAAAATAGGGCGATGGTCAGTGCTTCAAGTCTCCAAAAGATTTTCTCTTTTGTGCCTTGTGTGAAAGATGGTTCGTTCTTGGTTTTGTGTCTTACTATCAGCCCCTGGTTCATGTTCTTTTCAGGGCTTTTCTTTGCCTTTACCCTATATTTAAAACAAGCATGTTCAGTTTAATGCATTTCCTCTGCTTCTCCTTTTACAAACAATAACCAACTAGTCAGAGGTTAGGGACCTTGGGTGTTGCAGGAGACCCTTCGATTTTTACTGCCTGACCTTGTTTTGTGGTACACTCCCAGTCAGTGCGTGGCAAGCAGTGTGCAACACACACCTACAGGCTAGGTAGGCCCTGTAATCCTGAACACTTTACTTAAATTCAAATTGCATGAGTGTCCTCACCCTTAAAATGCCAACGATGATACTACTATTTCTTCGGTATTGCTGTAGAGTGGTGCCTGGCACACAGTGTTTGCTAAGAAGGTGTAGAGTGTGTAATAAATGATTATTAATGTGTTGACTAATTGAAAGGATTAGCTTGACCCAGAGATTGTGAAATGTTTTTCTGTCCATCGAATGGTTTACTTCATTTAACATAATGGATTTTATTTTGCAGGCATTGTTCATAGTGATCTGAAGCCTGCTAACTTTGTAATAGTTGATGGAATGCTAAAGCTAATTGATTTTGGGATTGCAAACCAAATGCAGCCAGATACAACAAGTATTGTTAAAGATTCTCAGGTAGGACTCTTTTTTTTGCTGTCTTGGTTGTATTTTGGTGTTTTACACCAGGGCTTCACATAACCTAGAATGGCCTTAACTTTGTTCTGATAAGTGGCTTTCAATTCCTGATCCTGCTGCTTATGTTTCCCAGGGGTGGAATTACAGGTGTGAGCCCTAACACCTAGTAGCTTCAGGTAGAATTTTTTGTTTGTTTTTGTTTTTCAAGTCAGGGTTTCTCTGTATAGCCTTAGTTGTCCTGGACTCTCTTTGTAGACCAGGCTGGCCTTGAACTCACAGAGATTCACCTGACTCTGCTTCCCCCAGTGCTGGGATTACAGGTGTGTGCCACCACGCCTGGCTCAGCTAGAAATTTTAATGATGGTCGGTTACTACAGAATTTATTTCCTTTTTGTCTGTTAAGTATTTTGCTAATGTTACATTTTTTTTTACCAGCCATTTCTTCAAAAAATTTGAACTCTTTTTAAAAGAACAGAAACTATGATTATAAAAGATTCAAGGCCATGGTCAATTTGATTGAGAAAAGCAGTTCAAGATCAGACAACTATATCTATCAATTTTGAATGATTTTCACCTAGCTGAGGGCAAAGCAAAGAGGAACTGTAGCTGCATGTTCTCCATTGTCTTTTTTTTTTTTTTTTTTTTTTTTTTATTCTTACTGCTGAAATTTGGGGCAAAATTTTAAGAGTGCCTTATTGGAAATACTGACGCATTGTAGTCAGCTACATTAAAAAAGAAACAGTTTACTTATTGTGTGTGTTTGTTCAAGTGCAAGCATGCCATTGTAGAGACAAGAAGATAGCTTTGGAATCCAGCTCTCTCCTTCCTCTGTGCGTTCTGGGAACCAAAGTCACATTGTCTTGTACAAAAGCTCATTTCTCCAGCCCCCAGCTATGTTTTTGTAACAAGAACTGCATTAGCAAGTGTAATGATACTGTTTCACAAAAAACTAAAATAGTTACATGAAAAAAGAGCTGGACCTCACATGCTGTATCCATGAATGAAGATTTCTGGTGTAAGTCTGTCAATTCTTGAAGCAAAATCAGACTTTGTTAGGAATAATCAGTGGACAACAGTCAAAGTAATTCTACCTGACAGTCATTATTTTTTGTATCAAAAGTACAGGTGAACATTGTTTGTAGATAAGCCTGAAGTTACATGTTGCAAGGTCCTAGCACCAGGCATTTTTGTTATCTTAGAACTAAAGGATTGTGCTGTACCATTTCCACCACCCGACTTTAGAAACTCTTGCATGACTTAGCTTTCCAGCCCATCTCAGTCTGCACACAGGGGCCAAAGAATATTGGGAGATGAGGCTAGCTGGTTCCTTTTATTTATATATCAATCTGTTGGTTGTTTTACTGAAGAGGAAAATGTTGAATTTATTCAAACATGGAAGTGAATGGTAGTCAAATCCTTCAGAGTTCAGAATTAGCCTAGACAGTTACAAAAGCAGACACCACATAGTTGTAGGCAAAGCATAGCCTTTCAGGAGCCAGTTCATTGTCATCCCAACCTTTTTTGTTGGAGCTCTGATGTGATCTTATATGTATTTTTATATTGTTGGCAGTTATTTTAATTTTTCAAGTCTCACTAAAATCACTAGTTATGCATGTTCCAAGAATCTGACATTTATGTATGTACAAATCTAGAAAGATGTTTCCATTGATTTCTTTGTTTTCTGTGATTGGCAAACAGGTCGGTACAGTTAACTACATGGCTCCAGAAGCTATCAGAGATATGTCTTCTTCAAGAGAGAATGGGAAAATCAAGACCAAGGTATTGGAAACAGCTTACTCACCTGGCACCAGGGAACTCCTGCCAATGGTTATGGATTCGCTTTCAGTTTTTGTTGTTTTTGTTTTTTCATTTTTAATGTGTCTATGGTTGTTATTTCTTTCTCAAAGTGTACTTTTTGCCTCCTTAATTCCCTTATCACGGGCCCATTTTCTCTGTTGGGATATATCAAGCTCCGGGGCTAATCTTTCTTTCATTGCCACAGTGTTCACAAGCACAAACACGCTTGGGTCCCAGCAACCTTCATGCCATAACCCTGCTTCTTCAACAGTGCTTTCCCCTCTGAGTTGGGTTTGTTCAATGGTGTGTATTTACAAGAAAACAAGGAGTAGCAGAGAAAAATTCTCAGTTCAGCATCCAGCTCACTGCTGCATAAATTTGCTTTTCTTCTCTAGAAAACTATGGGTTCTAGGTAGTTTTTCAAATAACTTACATAAAGTGCTCATGTATGTCTGTCTGCATGTATGTGGTGTGTTTGCACATTTATGTTCTGAGCGTGGGCACATTTGTGCCATAGCGCATATATAGAGGGCACAGAACAACTTTGAGTATCTATTCTCAGTACCTGTCTTGTTCAAAATAGTCTTTTGTTGTTGTTTTCCGAAGTGTATGCCAGGCTAGCTGACCCCCACGCTTTGGAGTTTCTTCTGACCTCTCCAACTCCTGCCTTTTCCTGGGTTGCCATGCCTGCTTTTGTGTAGGTTCTGAGGGTTCAGTCAGGTCTTCACACTTGTATGGCACATACTATCTCCCCAGCCCAACGTGCAGAAAACCTGCCGAATAGTTTATCTTACAAAGCTGATTTCATAATTGTTTGCCTTCTATTTTCTCCTCTGATTTGTATTTGCTGCTTTTTTATTACGTCTTCTTCAGGCTTCTCATAGTTTTGTTGAAGTTAAAACCACTAGATCTTTATTTCACTCACAAATCCTATTTTTCTTCACTTTCCAGTTGTGTTTTTGTCTTTGTTAGGGTTTTTTGTTTCTGTATTTACTCAGGGTTTTGTTTTGTTTTGTTGTTTTTCTTAGAGATCGGGTCTGACTTTGAAGCCTTGGCTGGCCTTGCACTTGTGTCAATTCTTCTGCCTGAGTTAACACTGACAGTGCCCAGCTAAATATTTTCACTTTTTTTTTTTTTTTTTGGGTGGTGGCAGTAGTTTGGGGAACTTTAAGGATCTTGTGTTTGCCACTTGAGCTGTCTCTCCTGTGTGTCCTGGTTATTTCTCCCCGCCCCCTTTGTCTTAAGTTAAAACATTGATTTTAGTGTTTTTATTTGGATTAAAACTACTAATCTAGCTGAACGTGGTGGTGCTTGCCTGTGATCTTCCATTGGAAAGCTAACGCTAGAGGATCAAGAGTTCAGTAATACCTGGGTTCTGTAACACAACCATCCTTTTTAAAAGATAAAATGTTTACTGAGTCTTACTTTGATTATTATTTACAGGCTTCATTATAATATTTTAATGCCTATTAATTTCTAAGTTTTGTAATTTCAGTTTAACATTGTCTTTTTTTACTTTAAGGTTTTGAATTATACCTAGAGGTTATAAATTTTTTAATTGTCAACTCACTGATTTAATACGCAATGGCTCCCTCTTCTTTCCTGCTTCTCATTTTTTGAGATATAGTCTCATTATATTATCCAGGCTAGGTGTGAACTCTGAAATCTCCTACCTTAGCTTTCCAAATGCTGGAATTTCAGATGTGTGCCACCACACCTACCTGGCTCAGTTTTCAAAGATAGAATAACATTTTAAAAAGAAAATCATCTTTGTGGCTAGAGAGTTGGCTTATTGCTCATGAACAAGTTGTGGTATTGCAGAGGCCCCAAGTTCAGATCCCAGCATCCCTTTTGGTTAGCTCATATCTGCATGTAACTCCAGTGACAGGGAATCCTATGCCCTCTTCTGGCTTCTGTGGACAACCATACACATGTGGCACATGCCTGCACAAGTTACGGTTTTGGTTTTTGTTGTTTTAAGTTCATTCTTTTTCTTAGTTGGTAACACTGTTTATCAGGATTAAGTTTTTGTTGTTGTTCTTTTTTCCTAATATTAAATTGTAGTTTCTACTTTCATTTCTCCCCTCCCCTTAAGGTCATGGTTTTTGTTTTTGTTTTAATGGTGCTTTGCCTGCATATATCTGAGTAAGGTTGATGGATACCCAGGAACTGGAATTACAGATAGTTGTGAGCTGCCATGTGGGTGCTAGGAACTGAACTCAGGTCCTCTGGAAGAGCAGTGAGTGAGTGCGCTTAACCACTGAGTCATCTCTCTAGACCCAAGGTCAGGTTTTTGTACTTCCATTTCTTTTTCTTTCCCAGCCTTCACCAACTTTCTATATCATTTGGTTTCGATTTATTCTTTATAGAAAATATGTTTTTGTTCGTTTTTCATTTTCTATTTTCCTATTGCTGCGATTATTCCTACTGTGATTTTAACTCAGTGAGCATTTAATAGTCTTGGGCTTGGGGAAAATGAATGATACTTATTCGCACTTACTCAGAAAATCTTCTGGGCTAAAGAGGTGGCTCAGCAGCTAAAAGTATTTGCTGCTATTACACAGGAGTTGGGCTCAGTTCCCAGATCTCAGATCCACGTACATACACAGAAAACAAACAAACAAGCCTACAAAGAAAAATAAACTCTACTCTGTGATTATCCATTCTCAAACCCATTTAATATCCATTAGCACTGTACTTTATTTTTACTGTTAGGGATTAGACTTAGGGTGTGGTGTGTGCTGGCCGAGTGGTATTCACCCTGACTTTTTATCCAGTCTGGTTCTGTGGTTCATGCTGTAGAGATTACAGTTACACAGTTTAAATGACCTTTCAAAATATGGACATAGATTTAGTTTCAGTGTATTACAATCTCATCATTCTGGGACAAAAAAGTATATACAAATTTATGGGGTTTTTGTTTTTTCTGTGTGTTTGTTTTTTAGTATTGTGGTATTATGTTATCACAAGGTGCCAATAATTTAATACGTTATTCCCTATAAAATAATTTTGAGTTTTTCAAGCCTTTAAAGTTCTTCTCTATTAAATGATCAAATGTAATGAAAAGTAGGAAACAATGTTTTGTCATGTAAGCATATCTTGTACTTTAATATTCATTGAGGTTTTAATTATTATTGTATAATTAGGATTACAGACATAATATTTTATGTTACCTTTTAAATTAAAATAAAGCAACTTTCCCTCTTCTCCCATTTAGATAAGCCCCAGAAGTGATGTTTGGTCCTTGGGGTGCATTTTGTACTATATGACTTATGGAAAAACACCATTTCAGCATATCATTAATCAGATCTCTAAACTGCAAGCCATAATTGACCCTAGTTATGAAATTGAATTTCCTGAGATTTCAGAGAAAGATCTTCAAGACGTGCTAAAGGTAACACTATTAGTATGTGAATATAGAAAGAGAATGTCTCCTAGTTTCACGTTTGTTTAAAAGAAGTAGTTGAGGTGATTGGAATTACTCACCTATCCTGAATGAAGCTGGTTTACTGAAAGCAGTTGCTAACTGAGGTTATTTTTTAAAGCATGCTAATTGTAAAAGGTGTTTTTAATTTAATGGATACTGGGATTTTCTAAAAGGTGACTCTGAGAAAACCTGTTACCATTGTCTGGCAGGATGTCTAGAGCAGCCTCTGCAGTATCATGTCATTGGAAAGCCGCTTTGTCAGCATAACGTATGAAAACTTGCTTTGTTTATTTTCAGTGCTGCTTAGTAAGGAACCCTAAAGAGAGGATATCCATCCCTGAGCTCCTCGCACATCCGTATGTTCAAATCTCCCACCCAGGTACTCCTTATGTAAAGGTCACTGTTTCCTAGGTTACCAGCATAAACAAATAGTGTGTTAACTGTAGAAAACCAGAATCTAAATTGGCCACTCTCTTATAGCATGTTTGCTAATTAATAAAGTTAATAACATTGTCTTTCTTTAAACTTCATTATTTAATCTTAACTGTCCTGGATAGAGGATGGTGATAAATTACAATAATGCTAGTTAGCTTACAGTTTATTAAGTAGAATATATTTTTTTGTTGTTGTTCTTTTTGAATGAGCAGAATCTTATTGTTATAGCCTAGGCTGGCCTTGATTGAATTCATGATCCCTTTCCCCAGCCTCCAGAATGTGTTTTTTAGTTTGTTTATTTTGGTTTTTTTGAGACAGAGTTTTACCTCAAACTTAGCAATAGGACTGGAATTGTAGGCATGTACCTGGCCAGAATGTATACTTGTATATAATGTATACAAATTAATTTATGTTATTCCTATTAATACCAGCATTTTGTTGATTATTTTTTTTATAGGCAACCAGATGGCTAGGGAAACCACCGATGAGATGAAATATGTTCTGGGTCAACTTGTTGGTCTGAATTCTCCTAACTCAATTTTGAAAGCTGCAAAAGTAAGTGCATCTGCATTCATGTTAGCTGTTTTAATGTAGTGCAGTGAGTTAAGCACTTAAGGAAACACAACCAGAAGGAAAGTTGGCCTAGTGCTCACATCTGTGGTCAGATACAGTTCTGGGCTGAGTCACCTACCAAGTGTTGTTTAAAGTGTGGACCTTTTTGATTGGTGTCGCTATTCCTGGGGTTTCACCTGCAATAAATAAATTTATATTTTAGTCTTATCTCAACAGCATTCTTTGTACAGCTTTAAAAATCATTCCTTCTAGTCAATTTTTAATACAGCCTTAGGGAAGTGATACTTGTCACATGCCATATCTTCTGTAGCAACTGGTACATTCCCCAAAGCACAGTCCACACTGGCCAGCTTCCTGGTACTTTCTATTTCCACTGTCACCATGACATGAGGCTTGTTTTGTTTTGAGACATTATTTCACTGTGCAGCCTAGCTAGCATGGAACTTAGAATGCAGATCAGGCTTGCCTTGAAGTCACAAAGAGATCCACCTGCCTCTGTCCTCAAGTGTTGGAACTAAAAGTGTATGATACCACACTCAGATCCACAGTGATGTTTGGATCTCATTGTCACCAAATACTTTCATAATTTCTAATACCTATGATTGCTTATCAACTGAGTTAGCTACCACGCAACTACAAATTTGATATTTTGGTTATATTATTATTAAAGTATGACTGACAACACTTTTCTCTGGATGCGGCTCAGATCAACCTATATTGCTGGTGTGGAGCCATCTTGGAATGACTTTGTGATATATTCTCTCTAGTACATATATTCATAGGCTCTTAGATTTTTTTTTTTTTCTCAGATGCTGATGACTGAACTAGTAACTTTGGGGTATTTTAAGTTGGACAGAATGCCTTTATAGTCATTGCTTTTTCGTGTTTCCATGTTTTCTAGGTAATATATTCAAAATGTTCTCTTGAATAAAATTAAAGTGAATTAATCATGCTATCACTGGGATTTCATGTTGCCTGATGGCAGAATTATTTGTCACCTTCATAAGTTAGATGTTGACTTACATTTAGTCTTTTTTTAATACACAGCTTTCAGCTTCAGTTGCATCCTGAGTTTATCAGTTCCATAGCTGTAGTCAATCAGGTGCAAATAAAAAACATTCTGAAAAATAAGTTACGTTTACTTGTTATTCCATTAAAATGCAGCAAAAGAATTATATTTACATTGTATTAGCTATTACAAGTATGAATTAAAATGTTCAGCAAGATGCCTATACATATATGCATATAGTATGTACATTCTGTAAAGGTCTGAAGCATCTATCAGCTAGGAATCTTGTTGACCAGCACTTCAAAGGTACACTGAGGAACAAGAACCTAATTAGACATATTTACATAGTAATTTTAATGTTCTGTTCATTACTGTAAATAGCTTCTGAGATTATAAATTGTTTCCTTGTGAATATTTGATATATAAGAGTATTTTACTAAGCTACTTTAAGGAAAAGTAAGCAGGCATGCAGTGGTCTTAAAGGTCTGCCTATGTGCTAGTTTTTGATATATGTTTGGAGTACATCATTATCTTTACTAATCTAATAATACATTGAACGAAATGTTTAAAAACGGATTTGTGTTTTCAATTTCAGACTTTATATGAGCGTTATAATTGTGGTGAAAGTCAAGATTCTTCATCATCCAAGACTTTTGACAAGAAGAGAGAAAGAAAGTGATGCACAGCTACTCACAACCAAAAACACTAAATTAACTCACCTGCTCTATGCTTGAGTCTCTGGAAATCTACCTTAGGAAACAACCTTGCCTGGGTGTTCTCAGAAACAAACCTCAGGAGATTATCCTTGAAAGAAAACTGTAAACTTAACCACTAATGGCACTGTACATATTAAATTATAGAGTTGCCCTTTTGTTTTATGCTTTTCTGTAAATGTAATCTGTCTGGTAACATTTCACACTTGAAGCAGTGGGTGGACAGCTGAAATGTGGAAGACCTGTAAATAAAGAGGATGTTTTCTCTGAAGATCTATGTAAATAAAGCTTTATAGAATGAGAGACACCAACGTTCTAGAGGTGTACAATTTTCTTCAATCAAATGTATTATGGCCATGGTAGCAAAATTCTTAGAACAATTGGATTAAGAATAGACCTTAGTAAATAAAGTATAACAAATTTCCAAAGGGTTTAGGATTGTAAATAGGGTGGGCTATGGTGGCACATGCTTTTAATTCCAGTACTTGGAGGCAGAGGCAGGTGGATCTCTGAGTTCGATGTCAGCCTGGTTTAGAGCCAGTTCTAAGACAGCCAAGGCTACACAAACAACCTCCCCAGCCCCACAAATTTCATAATTACCCATGGCCCTGATACCATCTGTATAATATCTGGTCTGCTTGTGGCCTTTGACTCTTCTTCGCACAAATAGGGCTTGCTGTTCAGAGTACTGTGCTGGAGTTTGTGGTCTAAGTTGTATAGTTAAGGCATTCCACAACTGAGTACTGTTTGGTAAAGGATTGTTGTAAATTCGGTTTCACTGTGTGATCCTGTATTTCTTCCTCTCTCCTCTCTTTCTCTTCCCCTCTCCTTCCCTCCCACCTTATGCTAGGGATCAAAACCAGAACCTTTCAAGAATCACAAAGTATATATGCAAATATTCCCAAACCAGAATTTAAAATACTTTTCTCAAATATTTCCAAATATAGATAACTTCACCTTGCAACAACACAGTATTTGTTTCTAAAATAGTAATATATTTTAAGAAATAAACTTCCTTTTTTCAGAGCAGTTTTATCTCCACACCAAAATTAAGCAGAAAATACAGAACTCCTATGTGTCCTTTTCTTTCTCCGACAGGCATCTGCCATCACTTTTGTCATTACCATCATCAAAATCCCACAGCACAGCGATACCTTTTGTTACATATATGAGTTTACACTAAAAATCCGTAGTATATGATAGGTACATTCTGTGGGCTTTGATGTGTGTACTGCAGGTATTAATCCTACGGAATGTCCTTGCCCTAACTCTGGGAAAACCCTGCTCTTCTATGTCCTGTTCTTTTTCCAGACATAGTAAGAGTGAGATCCAACAGTAACAGCCTCTCAGGTGGACTTTTTTCCTCCATGCTTTTTCCCCCACACTGACTAATTGTCCTTTGGCTGTGCCCTGGGCCATTCATTCCCCTGCCGAAAGCCGTCATGGTTGCTTCTAAGTCTTGGCAGTTGTGAATGGAGCTGCTATAAACATTTCTGTGCAGGGTTTTGTATGATGTCAGTTTTCATCTGCTTTTCATAGGTAAATTCTATGTTTGAGAGTATTTAGGTTTGTACGTACCTGCTATGCTCCGTGTTCTTCCCTAACTCTAGACAAGACAAGCATTTGTGTGGCTCTGCCCTCACCAGAGTTTGATGTCTGGCTTTGGGGTCTGGTCATTGTATTGAGTACATAGTGTCACCTTCCTTTAATCGGCCCTCCCTAGTGCTGTGCTGCTGCGCATCTTTGTTTCCATGTGCCCACTTGCTGTGTGCCCACAGTCTTTGGTAACATCTGTTCAGGGGTTTAAGGTTTATGAGCTGTGTATATTTGGAGTAACAATCCTTTATCCAACATGTCTTTCTCAGGTTTCTCTAGTTCTGTGGCTTGTTTTATTTCTCAATTCACCCATTTTAAATCATGTTTATTAGTGTCAGTGTTTGAACTTTTACATTAATGTAACAAATAACTAGTAAGCTTAAACTGGCAGTTCTATAAACCCACTTGGAAGTTTGAGAATTTCCTTTTATAAACTCTATAAATACTGCTAATTTTTAAAGGTTGTTTTGAAACAACTTCACTTATAACCTCTTAAAATGCTAATCATGCGACAAATTCTAAAATATCTCATTGGAAAATATCTCATTGACACCTCACAGTAGCACCTGTAGGTCCAGAATGGCTAGAGACAGCCAGGTTGAGAGTTCTAGCCTGGGCTACATAGCAAAAATACTTAAAAAACAAAACAAACAAAAAAGAATCACAGCTGATGACAATATCACTTGTTTTTTTTCATTTCTGTGACCAAGTGCCTGACAGAGGATTGTTTTGGCTCACAGTTCAGAGAGAACAGTCCACCGTGGGGAAGTGGACATCCGGATGTGACAGTTGTAGGGCAGTGGGAGCTGTCAGGACTACTGACTCCTATCCTGCAGAATCAATACTCAGCAAGCTTGGGTTGGAAGGAAGCAAGGCTAGACTGTAACCCTCCAAAGTTTGCCTTCCCATGACCCACCTCTATGCCCCCATTCCAAAGGTTCCATAACTTCTCAGAGTAGCACCTCTTGCCTAGTTCAAATACGTAAGCCTGTGGGGAGCATTTCGTATTCAAATCACAGCACTTCTACTTAACTCAGCTCTGAAATCTTCGGTTAGCCTTAATCCCTTTTCTTTCATGTAGTTCATCAGGAAATGTTTGCGTGACTGCCACTTGCTGCCTCAATCCTGCCAACCTCATCTCTTGCCTGTAGCTGTGTTCAATTGGTTCAACAGCTTCCTAATTGGTCTATCCAAGTCTACTTTTTACCCCTTAGTTTATTCCCAGGCTGTGATTGTCTTTAAACACAGTAGGATCATGTCAGTCCTTGTTTCAAGACCCTGTGATGACAACTTTTCTCTTGACTTAAAACCAATGTCCATATGAACGGTCTACAGACTCCTGTGCTATTTGGTCTTACAACTGCTCCCTGCCCTCTTCACCAGTGGGCCTCACTCAGAGGGGAGCCTTAGTGGACTATTGCTGTGAGGAGACACCATAACCATGCCAACTCTTATAAAGGAAAGCATTTCATTGGGGCTTGCTTACAGTTTCAGAGGTTTAATCCATTATGAGAATGGCCATATGCAGGCAGCTATGGTGCTGGAAGAGTAGCTGAGAGTTCTACATCCAGATCTGCAGGTAGCAGGAAGAGAGACACTGGGACTGGCTTGGGCTTTGGAACTTTTGACTTCTCAGAGACTCAGAATCCATGTTTCTCTTTGATGAGTCACTTGAAGCTTCTTGTGTTTTTAAGCTTTTTTAAAATTTAGTTTTTTACTTTAAAAAATTTTTTTATTATCATTTATTACAGTTTTTTCAATTTGTATCCTGCCTGTGGCCTCCTCCATCTTCTCCCAATCCCACTCTCCCTCCCTCTTCTCCCCCTATGCCCCTCCCCTAGTTCACTGACAGGGGAGGTCCTCTTCCAGGTCTCATCAGGACTGGTTGCATTGTCTTCCTCTGCGGCATGGCAAGGCTGCATCCCCCAGGGGGAGGTGATCAGAGAGCCTGCCACTGAGTTCATGCCAGGAAGAAAGTCTCTGCTCCCCTTACTAGAGACCCCACTTGTAGACTGAGTCTGTGAATTACATCTGAGCCGAGGCTTTAGGTCCTCTTCATGCATTGTCCTTGGTTAGGGTGTCATTCTCTTCAGGGCCTGCAGGGCTCAGTTTTTATGGCTCTGTTGGTCTCCTTTTGGAGGTCCTGTCCCCTTCAGGTCTTTCTATCTCCCTATTCTTTCATAAGATCTCCTGCACTCTGTCAAAGTTTGGCTATGAGTCTCAGACTCTGTTTTGATACCCTGCAGGGTATCAAAGGCCTACCCCCTATCGTAGGCTCCTGTCCTGTTCCCTGTCTTCTGATTTTGATATCTATCATGTTTATCCTTCTTAATGAGGATTGAGCATCTTTCTAGAGTCATTCTTGTTGTTTAGCTTGTGTAGGACTATAGATTTTAGTTTGTTCATCCTATATTATATGTCTAATATCCATTTATGAGTGAGTATATACCATGTGTGTCTTTCTGCTTCTGGGATACCTCACTCAGGATGATCTTTTCTAGTTCCCACCATCTGCCTGCAAATTTCATGATTTTCTTGTTTTCAATAGCTGAGTAGTATTCCATTGTGTAAAAGTACCACAACTTCTTAACATTGTCAGAAATATAGAACATTACCAGTGTTAGACCTGTCTGCTCAGACCTATAAAGCTACAAAGCCTCTCCATCCTGAAATAGCTTACCAGTGCTCAACCTCCCTGTCTGTGCAAGGAACTTGTTTTCAAGTAGTGGTGATATCTGAAGTTGCAATCGGTTTAATAGAGGCTTCGTTCTTGGTTACCTGTGAAGAAGGATGAGCATCTCAAGTGTGTTTTGCCTTGAGCCCAGGGTAGGGGGAGGTGAGAGGGAAAGCTTATGAGTTCTTGGAAGTACTGATGGGAATTCCAGGACTAGAGGTATCTTGAATGCAGCCTGGACACTGAAGGGTGAGTACTGACTTGAGATGGTCTGTGAGCTCTTGATCCTTTGGAGTTTGAGGAGTGGCCAAATCAGACCAGCTGAACCTTCTGTGGCCAGATCAAACCAGCTGAACCTTCTGATACAGAGGAAATAGATGCTAGTTGGCTCTCAGGGTAATCCAGGCTTTAGTGGAGGAAATTAAACTCTTGATATGGAAGAGAAAAAAAAATACATTTTTCTAAAGCCTAAAAAAATAGAGTATATTTCTATCTTTGGAATTCAGATGAATAACTGCAATGCTCAATGCAATTAAAAAGATTAAGTTCCGGTCACTTTTGCCGAAACTTCAAAGTGAGGAAAAGATAAGAAGATAGCTTGGCATGGTGGAATCTCAGCGTTTAGGATGCTGAGGCAGAAAGATTGCCCCAAATTTTAGGCCAATCTGGGCTACAGAATAAAACTCTCATCCCACCCAACCCCAATTTTTTAAATGCGTTAGACTTAATTTTTGATGTCTACTTGGGGGTACTGCCAGGCTGCTTTTTACTTTAGGGGCGAAGAAGCTTAGCCAATTATGAGTACACGGTTTCAGGCTCATCTGTAAAAAGTTATTGTCTCCCAAGGAAATTGCTGTGGGTGGTAAGGTATCACTGGTTTAAATCTGAAGCAGGCCAATAGGCCCATCCTCCGCGTGGTATTTACATTTAGAAGAACTAAGATGAAGCCTCAGGCCAGGTATGGTGAGGCTAGCTGTTAGTACCTGCACTAGAGAAGCAGAGACAGGCGTATCTCTGTGAGTTCAAGGCCAGCCTGG